TATATATATATATATATATATATAATTTCTTGATTTAAAGTCAACGTTGAGGAGATTAGATGTCTTTAAATTGTAATTGCCTAGAGAGCTCTATACGGATCGCAATATTGAGTTTTAAAAGAGAAAATGCACCGAATAAAAAGTGTTCTATGTGTATACATATTATTCCATCAACCATTTTTTTAGCTAAAAAATCATCAACCATTATTATTTCGTCAGCACAAATAAATATTACGAAGAAAGATTATAACAAGCCCATGTGATCCAAAAATTCTTGTAAAATATGTAAATGAATTATGGTTCTTGATCGTCATCCCAAGCCTTACACTGCATCTCCAACATTAATTGCTATATACAAGGTTTACAAATATGGTGAGTATAATATAATTACCTATAATATATATACACACATGTATGTGTGTGTGTGTAATTGTGCTATTAAATAACCAAAATTTTCAAACAAAAAAAATACATAATATGCCACCATTTGATGACAAATGGATTGCTTCATTGCCATCAATCCGACCATGTCTCCTCATCACATTATAAAATGATTTTTTTTAATGAGAAAATCAGGATGCCCCTAACCGATAACTCTAATGTAATCCTTTTTAGCAACAAATATAATTCATAATCACATTTATTTAATTTAACATGTATTATTGAACAAGTTGTCATTCCCTGTTTGGTCAACCCTGGCCTTTGGGATACTTGAATGGATTCATACGCAATTATTAAATCGATACCATCCATTTTCTTGATGATTCCATCAATCTTATTTATAATAGAATCTGTACTTGTTTATTCCCATGTCAGCTACTTGACAATATTATTATTTAAATCACAAAATGCTTATTTATTCATTCTATTACGTATGCAGTTTTAAATAATTTGTTTATCTTCTACAATGGTTATTACTATAAGAAATATGCATATGGCTGGCGAGACCGAAATTCTGTCCCTAGTATGGGACCAAACACATTTCTTACCGCTAGGGTCTTGGTTAAAAATATTATAATCCAATTTTAAGAATATTTTATTTTCAATTATTAAATTTTTATGAGCGTAATTTAGGTTCAATTAATTTAAAAATTATATATAATTGATTTTAGATCAGATTCAATTTTAATCTAATTATTTATCATTCTATTCGTTTCAATTAATTTTTTTATCCCACTGAAAATTGTCAATTCTAACAGTGAGTTTCAAAGTAATGTAAAACTTTAAATTTAGAGATTTAACCCAAATTAATTAAAATATGTATTAAAATTTAAAACAGCTTGAAATGACCAAGTCAACTCTGCGATGGAATCTCAAAGAGGGATCCCATTTATGTGTCACGTGCCCCAAAAATGGGCCATATTAACCATATATTTGTGATCCACTCACTTTTCTTTTATTCTTCTTTTTTTAGATAGAGCCAAAGAAATTGTTTATATATTTAAGAAAACCGAAATCTTAAATTCGAATAATTATACCTTTTTTTTACAGTCGGTTAAAAATTGGATTTTATCACCTAATTAAACATGTTTCGCCGAACATTTACCTTTTTTGTGTTTGTATATATATATACACACCTTTATGTGACAAAAAATTGGATATTGACGAATATTATTAATATTATGTTTACAGTCATTATAAAGATAAGACATCAAGATGATTATACAAATCAACTTGCAAAGCCTAACTTTTTTTTTTTTTTGCGGTGCGTATGAATTTAGTTATTTTCTGATTTTCTCCTAAATGTTGGCCTCTTTTTTAAGAAACAAAGGAGAGCCATTGAAGTTGCAATGTTCATTTAAAAAAACACTATAGTTCATGAGACTCATATGACTTTGTGAACCTCTCTCTCTCTCTCTCTCTCTCTCTCTCTCTCTCTCTCTCTCTCTCTCTTAATTAAATAAAAATATGCAACGGATGGTAATCATCTTTCAACATGAATAAATTCAGTGGCGCTTAATCTCTGCAAGACTTTACCAATTGACAAAAAGGAGAAGTCGGGTACATTTGTAACCATGCGAGATGCATAGATGAAAATATTTAAAACGGTTACGTCCAAAAAATCGCACAATTTGATCATTATTCGGCCGAGGATTGGGGCATTAGACATGTTTTGGGTGTAGAAAAATAAAATGCGGAAACAGAATAAGGCAAATAAAAATAAACGGAATTACTTTATTGCTACATCTCTTCTTCTTGTTTTATTACAATGAAAATAACTCACATATTTATAAGAAAATTAACAAATAAAATAAAAGAAAATATAAATATAACGGAAATAAATATGATTCACAATATTTAACATAATATTGTATTCCTCCAAAATCTAGATTTTCCTCCAATCATATATTCATTTTTCTACTTCAACATTGGGGTCATGTATACAAAGACATGTGGATATATGTGTGTATATATATATATATATCAATAGAATGGACCTACAGGTAGAGTGAGCATCGAACAATATGAATGATCGAAAACACATAATTTTACGCATCGAGAAAATAGATGGCAAAGGAATTGCCTGATGATGATGATGGGTCAATTAATTGTATATTTATTTACAGACATATCAAATTCGGAGACGCCTTTGCCTTTTACATATAAATTATTCATAACAAAAGAAAACTATTTTTACTTTTCACAACAAATATGACCTTTAATTAATTCTTAAAATGCGCGCCAAATATTAGGTCTTTTGGCATTAATGAACTTGTAAATAAAATGCGGGGATGCTTGATAAAATGTTTTTATTTTTTCCGAATAGGTTATTACAATTGTGCATCCCATTCTTAGGAAAAAAAACTAGTAACCAAACATATATATATATATATAATATATATATATATATGTATGTATGTATGTATGTATGGTTGTATGGTTGTATGTATGTATGTATGTATGTATGTATGTATGTATGTATGTATGTATGTATGTATGTATATGTGTGTGCGCAAGTATACTCAATATGAATTAATTCTCTCCCCAATCAGACGACACTCATCGAAGTCTCACATACCATGCGTCACTATTTGGTTTTCTCAAAATTAATCTTTTTTTTTATTAAAAAATCTTTTTAAATCCCTTCCTTCAACTTAGCTTTTTCAGGTTTCACACTATAAATACTCGCACCGTAGAGAGCCCGAATATATGAAACACATATGGTCTCACAACAAACAAAAGGCTCTCAAACAAAACACCCCTTTTGCTTCTTCCTGTGATTCACCAAAACACTCTCCACAAAAAAAAAACAGAACTTCTTCCTTTTTGTTCTTACAGAATCTCTCAGATATGTCTCTTCCTGAAACCCAAGATACCCTCTTAGATGCCTGGAACTTCCAAGGCCAACCCGCCGTCCGATCCAAGACCGGCGGTGTGTACGTTTATCGTGTTTTCTTTCTCAAACGTGAATTTTCATGTATACAACAATTATATTTATGTCTATATACGTGTATGTGAATTAAAAAAGATTGAAACTTTTCGATGTCTTTATCATGGGTTTGATTTGTTTTCATCTGGGTATGCTTCTTTTTTCAAAAAATTAAGCCTTTTTTGTTTCTTATATTTTTTTTGGTTGGTTATAAGGTATTGAGGCCGTGGAGAGGCTAACGACGTTAGGTATCGGCGTTAACTTGGTGACGTATTTGACGGGGACTATGCACTTGGGAAATGCAACGTCGGCTAACACCGTTACCAACTTCCTTGGAACATCGTTCATGCTCTGTCTCCTCGGTGGCTTTATCGCTGACACGTTTCTCGGCAGGTTTGGTTCTTCTCCTCCTCCAAAATCTATACATCACATCTCATTATATATAATTGATAATTTATTATATCATAATCACCATATATTGGTAACAATTAGTTTTCGCTTTCTCAATTATGTAGGTATCTTACCATTGCTGTCTTCGCCGCAGTTCAAGCCACGGTAAGAACACACGATACGTCATACTTCGTCTCAATTATTCATTTTTTCCCTTTTTTTAAAATTGCTTTAATTTAATGGTTTTTGTTATGATTGTTAATTTCATTAGGGTGTAACCATCTTAACGCTCTCAACGATCATCCCTGGCCTCCGACCACCAAAATGCGACCCAACTTCGTCAAATTCTTGCGAACAAGCAAGTGGAGTGCAACTTCTGGTCCTATACTTAGCCTTATATCTCACCGCTCTCGGGACCGGAGGCGTTAAAGCGAGCGTTTCGGGTTTCGGGTCGGACCAGTTCGACGAGACCGACCCTAAAGAACGTTCCCAAATGACGTATTTCTTCAACCGTTTCTTCTTCTGCATCAACGTCGGCTCACTTGGTGCGGTCACGGTCCTAGTTTACATACAAGACGACGTTGGACGCAAATGGGGTTACGGCGTTTGCGCGTTTGCAATCGTGATCGCGCTTTTGGTGTTTTTGTCGGGAACGAAACGCTACCGGTTCAAGAAATTGAGCGGTAGCCCGCTAACGCAGATCGCTGCGGTTCTCGTCGCTGCTTGGCGGAAACGCCGGCTCGATCTCCCGGCGGATCCGTCGATGTTGTTCGATTTGGACGATATTGTTATGGCTGAGGGTTCGAAGAAGATGAAGCAGAGATTGCCCCACTCCGAGCAATTCCGGTACGTGTTATATGACCCTACCTATGCTATGAATCTAATCATTAGAATCTTTGAAATTATTTGAAACTTTGGTTGTGTGATTAGTAAAATAATGCGCTTTTTCCAAATTTTTGTGAAATGATTGAGGTTTAGGTTAAATGCAAATTGAATTTTGATTAGACTTGGAAGTGTAAAGTTAAGAGTGGGTGGGAAATCAGCCTCGGTGCTTTTAATTAAGGTGGGGTCCATTAATGCCTACGTGGCATTAGAATCCAACAAAAGGGGCTTGAATATTTTTCCTTGTCGACTATTATGGACAAAAGGGGAATCAATAATTATTATCATTATACTATTTAATACCAACCAACATACAATGAAACTGGTCCTGCGTACAAATTTTACAGCTAATTAAGAAATTTATTTGTTTTTCTATTTCTCCTTTGGAATATCTATTTTGCTCATATACCATAGATATTTTTTCCATGGAAATTAGATGTGCACATATATACGAATTAGCACACACGTACACGTTTGGAGCAATTGAAATATGTTAGATAGATTTTTGGATGAATTATAGTTACCATTATATAACATATATATGATCCGATTGCTGCAGATTAATGACTAAAACAATTGGTTTAACCAAATTCATAATTCAAGAAAATGATAATGCAAGTGGCATTAATATATTTTCAATTTCTTTAATTATTAAAATATTAAATTTCCAAACTTTTCGAAAACGAACACCTTCTCGTGAGTTTTTGGCGTCCTACAAAAGAATAATCTTTATATATCAACAAGTTGAAATATGTTTCATTTTTTCCCGGTCGATATTCAGATGATTCTCTTGGATATATATTTAAAATTTTATGGTTATATTCGACCCACTCGTGATTTCTTGCTTTTATGAAGGATCTTTACCTTATCCCTATGCATTAAATTAGGAAAAAGAAAAGTGAGGAAGAGAATCCAAGGGAATCAATTCCATGATTCGAAAACAGAATATATTAAACTATCATATTATATATGCTTCATCATCTCTAGATCTTCAATGGTAAACAATTTATCCATTTCAATGGTATATAATTTATATATTTAATAAACATTCAATTATTTTGCTTTATTTTTGCAAAGTTCAGGAAATACCAAAATTTATTAAGAAAAAAAAAACAAGAGGAAAAAAGTTTTTTTGTCTTGCAATGGAACTCGATCACGTTTCTTGTCGTAGCACCTTCCCTACTTTACACCTTCACCGGGTCTGACACAAAAAAGACGGGATGTTTCAATCTCATCGCCACGTGCATTCCACGTGCAATGCATGCCTTTTGTGAAACCATGCAATGCATTCATTTTCAATAATAAGACTAATAATTATTTTCAAAGGCACTGAATTCTTGGTTTACAGTATGTATTTATGAGGCAATTGGCAAATATTTTGTTTTTTTTAAAAAAGAAAATCTGTATGTGGTAATGGAAAAGATTCGCCAGTTTTTGTACTATTTATTTTGGTATTTTCTAGGCACGTAATATACTAATTTTGGCTCCTTGTGTGTGTGAAGGGTATCTTTGGGTAGCATCTAGAAATCGAAAGATTCCATTTCCATGGATCTAACGTCAAAAAATATATTCATTTCGTTTTCTATTAATTAAATTTAGTATCTTTTTTTATCTCTATGTTTTTTTGTTTAAAACTCCACTCCTTTGCCGCAATACAAACAAAATTAGATTTGTCTTTTGACCCGGCAGAAAATCTTTTATATTTATATACATATTTTAATTAATTCTTTGTTTAAACTTTATGGTATAGGTCCTTGGACAAAGCAGCCATCAAGGAACAACAAGACACAATTGGTCCGAACCTATACAACAAATGGACACTCTCAACCCTAACCGACGTCGAGGAGGTGAAACAAATCGTAAGAATGTTACCAATTTGGTCAACTTGCATTCTATTTTGGACCGTACATGCCCAGTTGACGACATTATCCGTGGCACAATCCGAAACCATGGACCGACGAATCGGAAGCTTCCAAATCCCGCCGGCTTCCATGGCCGTCTTCTACGTCGGAGGCCTCCTCTTCACAACTGCCGTCTACGACCGTTTTGTTATCCCATTCACCAAAAACTTCCTCAAGAAACCTAATGGCCTAACCCCGTTACAACGCATTGGTTTAGGGTTATTCCTCGCATTCATGGCCATGGTTGTTGCGGCTCTAGTCGAGATCAAACGTCTGAGAACAGCTCATGCCCATGATCAAACGGTCAAAACCCTTCCTCTAGGGTTTTACTTGCTTATCCCTCAGTATCTAATCGTCGGTATAGGTGAAGCATTGCTGTACACAGGACAGTTAGATTTCTTCTTGAGAGAATGTCCGAAGGGTATGAAGACGATGAGTGCGGGGCTTCTGTTGAGTACATTGGCATTAGGGTTTTTCTTCAGCTCGGTTCTTGTGACGATTGTTCACAAAGTGACTGGAACCACACATGCGTGGATCGCCGATAATCTCAACAAAGGTCGGCTTTACAACTTCTATTGGCTCGTCTCCGTGCTTTGCGCCTTGAACTTCATCGTGTTTTTGGTGTTCTCGAAGTGGTATGTCTACAAGGACAAGAGACTTGCTGAGGTCGGGATTGAGCTTGACGATGAGCCCGATATCCCCACATGCCATGCATAATGATGATGATCGTGATCATGATCATGATCATGTCAATATGTGCGTGTGTGCGTGCATGTGTGCATGAAATTTCAGTTGTTGTAATGATTTTGATTTTGTGGTATACTATGTAACTTTAATTTTATTACTTGTGACAAAAGTATGTTTCTTGGTTTTGTTTCGAAGCTCTTATTTCCTGAGTGTACAAAGGGCAATAAGAGAGGGCAAAAGCAACGGGGTCCATGAAATAAAAGTAATGGACCGACCGGAGGCACAAAGTTATATATATTTTTTTTCCTATCTTCCAAAAATCTATCCGACTTTGTGTATATCAGAAACTGTAAAATTTCCTGTGATTTTCAATTTCAGTAATAAACGTGCCCATTTTCCTTTCCCTTTTAAATTTTCTATTTATCTTATATATATATATATGTGTGTATATATATATATATTTTGGGTAAGACTATATGTGCCATGTATATATTGAATTATGTTTAACTCAAATCAAACGCAAGGCTTAGCGCTATAGAAGGGAACTCATTTCAACGGTTAGGAGAGAAGCTTGGTGGTTGCGTGCTCAACCTACTAAAATAATTACATTTTGTATATAAATCTATTATTTCACACACACACACACATATATATATATATATATATAGTAAAACATGTTTTGTCATGGTGACGGAATTGAGTCGAAGACGTTTTTTAGAAACCACTTATAATTATTACTAGCCGGGTGGATCTAGATGGGCACATAGTTTTTATGTTTTTTTCCTGCTTTTTATTTGTTTATAATGTGAAAATTTGCCGTGCATTTGTCCTAATTACATCTCTCGAACGATCGGAGAAGTTTATGTAAATACTCTTCTCTAAATGAAGACTCAACACATAGATTGAGAAAGAGATTCGATTCTTTCGTTACCCAATTTTGTATTTTTTTTTTGTTACAAGAACAAACTAATGTGTTGTATAATTGGAGAGAAATCAAGCTTTGTGTTTGTATTTTCTTCGACATGATAAGACGTCGGACCCATATATACAAATCATTGAACCCGACAGTTAAAATAAATATAATAAGAACCGATACAAAAACGTATTTTTCAAAACGCATGTGGATAGGAATGGCTTAGCTTAGCTTTCGTTATCTTTTACTTTTGCACAACTTAGACTTTTAATAAATATATATTTCGATTGGAAGGAAAAAAAAATGTCACGAAGGGGAAAACTCAGTTTTCGGCTTACTCATGCAAGTTGGCGAGCTGTTGTACGTATCTGGACACATGACAATCAAAACAATAATTACGATTTTATTAAGGTTATTTTTAATTAATTATGTTTCTAATCTAATTAAGTAGCTTGTCGGATAACTAATAAACATATAACGGGAGCTCGTAATTGAATGCCACGTAACTAATCATTAATTAGTGTTGTCTCCATCTAAATTAACAAATACTAATAATCTTGCAAAACTAAAAGAACTTGAAGAATTGGAAAAATATTCGAAACTAACGAAGAGATGGAACTTGATGCATACATATTCTCTTGTATTTCAAACTACGGTAAATCCCATTAAAATTCCTAAATTTGTAAAATGATGAAAAACTAATTTTTAAATTTTTTACTTAACAAATTTATTTTTAAACTTAAAAAAATCTATCATTACAATTCTCAAATTTATAAAATATGTCATTTTAATTTCTAAACGAATTTGTAAGTCAACGTGGTTAATGTTTTTTCTAACATCATTAATAAGTTTAAAAATTATAATGACATATTTTACAAGTTTGTGAATAAATTTGTCAAGCTAAAAATTTAGAAATTGATTTTTTTAATATTTTACAAATTTAGAAATTTTAATGGGATTTACGTTTTAAAGCAATGAAAAGTAAAGTGTTAATTGCGGGAAAACAACTAGTATTTAATATTTATATCAATCAGTAGGGGTGACCATTTCGGTTATTAACCGAATCGAATAAGATATAACTGTATCTGAACCGAACCCGACATCAAAACCGAATGGTTATAATTTTTTTAAATCCGAAAAAACCAAAACCGAACCGAACCGAACTGAATAAAAAAATAACCGAAAAAACCGATAATTTCTTTGAAAAAATGAATATTTTACCGAAACCAAACCGAACCCGAACCGACAAATAACCGAACCAAACCGAACCGAAGTTTACATAAAAAGCGAATGGTTGTAGTTTTTCTATAACCGAAATAACCGAACCGAACTCAAACCGAAACTCGAATTGGCTACCCCTATGGATCAGTACAACATCGTCTCAAGTGCACGGAATATTTCAATTACTATAGAAATCGACATGAAATTAGCTGTTGAGAATCATTCGGGTTGGAGCTCGACTATAATTGATATTTGATATGTGTAATTAGTAATATTTTTTATTATATATTAAATTTTAGTCAGGTCCTTGTCCGGAAAAGGCTGAACGGAAAATCTAAGGAACTGTGATTGCACTTGCTTTACTATGCATCTTAACTGGAAAGAATATTCTTCACACACCTCATTGTCTAATTGTCGTCACACATTTCCAATCCAATCCAATCCATTCTATAAATATATATAAAAAGAAACAAAATATTTCGGTTATTTTCAATAATAAATATCTTCGCAATTATTCAGCGTTGAGTGTTAATGGAAATTTTATGTTTCCAGTATATAATAAATGGAATCTTGAAAATTTAGTGTTTATAGATGTAAATTTATTTTATATCCATTAATAAGAGTTTCTATTAGTACTTTACCAAAAAAAAAAAAAAAGAGTTTCCATTAGTAAGAGTTTCATTGGAAATTATCATTGGGAATAATTTTATTTTTGATGAAATTTATATCTTCTATCGCAAAACTGCTATACAAAATTGATATTCATCAACTGTAAAAGATTTCAATCATCTAATACATGTAATACATATGGAAAAAATGAAAAAATAATTATTTTATCCTTAAATAAATTCATTATATATATATATATATGAGATATCAAATACATAGTTATATTACAAGTGGCAGAACGTAGGATAAGTTCTAACATTAAATAAACTTTATCCGTCTCCTCCCAATAATAATCACACATTCATATTCAATAATTTTCAATAATCTAAGATTTATTGGACCCGACTCCAAGAGAATTTATTGCGTGCAGTATGGGAGATAGTGCTTTGAAATGGAACCCACATAAACCAATCATACTCATCTAACATACACGTTCAAAAGATTGAATCTTTTTTTTTTTTTTGCAAGTTCCAAGATTCCAAAAATGTTGATGTAAAGTTTCTAAAATACCCCAAATTAATATATCTGAAATGATCTTATAGTTAATCTAGAAGGATAAAATTAGAATTTATCACAAAAAAATAATCTAATTGTAAAATAACATTCTTTATACATAAACATTCAACCATTTTTTTTTTCGAAAAAGGAATTATATCTATCATAACATGTCAAATCTAGTTTTCACCAATTCCTTGACATCATTGTATAAAAATAAAAATCACGAGAGCTACTTTGGTGGATCCATGTCTTTATTGATTTATTATATAATAGTTTTATCGTTTTGGAAATGTTTTTCATTTCAAATTGATATAAATACAGGTACAGCAATATAGGACCCATATAAAAGGAAAAAGAAATAATTTTTTTACTAAATAAAATATCTTGAAATAAATATCTTAGTTGCAATAATTTTTGGGAGAAAGTGCTTTGAAATGGAACCCACATAAGCCAATCAAAGGCAAAAGTCACATGATTGGTTATTGTATGCAAGTAGACAATAATACACGACGTACTATAATTCATAATCATATATAACTTCAATTAAATTAAAAATGAAGGAAAAAAAAATAACCTATTAATTCGGATTTCGGGTGGCCTAGTGAGAGAACATGCAAAGCATGCTCTCACCCTGTGTTCAAATCCAAGCGTGGGGAGAGATATTCACCTGGGCTTCCCCGTCCTCTGGGAGATGTAGTCGGGCCAAAGGCGCGGTGAACTTCCGGATTATAAAAAAAAATTTGGTATATTATTATAAACAAATATAAGGTGGTAAACAAAGATATCAACTCTTAATCTCTTATTGATGCATAATTTGGATTTGATTAAATGCATAAATCCTGATTTCTGGCCCTGCAAAAATACATAACCGTTTGTATTGGAACCTCGAGGTCCTTAATTGTGCCAATGAATCAGATACAAGTGATAACAAAAAAAGATTGAATTGAGTAATCGGGCCTAATGCCTAAAAGAATATTTGGATAAAACCAAAGTCCAATTCCGGTTAACGGGTTGTGTATTTAATCAAGTTCGATCTTTAGCCCGGTTTAGGAGAATAATGGGTTGGTCAATAAGGTCCTCTATAAGTCCATGGGCCTTAAGCCCAGTACCCACGAAACTTTACCCTACATTGTCTACTTTGTAAAATTACGTTTAGCCCCTTTTATTATGGTTTCTTCCCTAAAACGCCCCGTAGGTATTTCTGTCAATAGAGTCCTCTTCTCACTTATTTATATTCAAATAGTCGTTTTTTTTTTTCATACAAATTATGCTCTTATACAATTATAGGATTTACCTTTTCTATTTTTGCTTTTGTTTCTTCCCGTCACCTGTTTGTAATTCGTTTTTAACAGATTATGGGCATGCTTTCGGGCCATTACTTGATAATAAATTAGTTAATAAAATATTTCTTTATTATATTTCCCTAACGCATATATCAATTTGAGCATGTACCCGGAATGGGATATAAGGATATCGTAAATAATTATTATATATCTCATCCTAACATTTTTTTCAAACCAAACTTACCTTCCATTACTTGTCATCCATACTCTATAAAGTTGGCAAAGCATGCAAAAAGTAACAAACACAAAAGCATGCCCATAATCTGTTTGTTTACGTATTTAATCTATGCTCTATAATGTACATGATGTACATCTACTCGTTAGATAGACATTATATCAAAAATACCCTCTATATACTATTTTAATTACTTCAACCTATACCCTTCTCCATTTGTGGACATGTGACCAAAATTATAGTTTGATCACATGATGGTCACATTGTTATAACGTTAAAATTATAATAGTTTTATCAAATGATTGGTTTGATATGTACACTATAAAAAAATCTGCAAATAGCGACGTAATGTGACGATTTTACGACAGAATGTGGAAAAAAATTATTCGTCGCAAACAGTCGCAAAATCCGTCGCAATTTGCTACGGTTTGCGACGGATAATTCTGTCACAACAAAGAAATAGATGATTTGCGACATAAAATAAAATTGCGACGGAATATTCCGTCGCAATGCATTTGGTTTCGTTTTTCGACGAAATTTTTTGAATTTTGGGCGCGTAAATTAATTTCATTTTGTGACGGATTACGACGGAAAATTCTGTCACAAAACGCAATATAAAACCACGAGTTGTCTTCTTCATCAGACTTCAAATATTTTTAGAAAAAAAAAATAAAAATCGCCAAATTTTTTCTAAATCTCTCCAAAGATCGCCAAATTTCTCCCATAAAGTAATATATATGTATTTATGTATATATATATATATATATGTGTGTTTGATGTGTTTATATGTGTTTATGTATGTGTATGTGTGTGTAAGTGAATGTGTATATATATGTGTGAATGTGTATGTGTGTGTTTATATATGTGTGTAAGTGAATGTGTATGTATGTGTGAATGTGTATGTGTGTGTGTTTATGTATGTGTATGTGTATATGTATATATATGTGAATGTGAATATGTATGTGTATGTATATTTGATTGTATGTGTATATGAATATGTGTATATGTGTGTGTTTATATGTATGTGTATGTGTTTGTGAAATGTATATGTGTATGTGTATGTGTTTGTGAAATGTATATGTGTATGAGTATTTATGTATGTGTATATATGTGTATATGTGTATATGTGTGAATATGTATGTGTGTTTGTGTATATGAAAATATATGTATATATATGTATGTATGTGTATGTATATTTGTATGTGTGTAATGTATGTATATGAATGTATGTGTATATATGTGAAAATGTATATATGTATGTGTATATATAGTGTATAATTTTTTTATATTTTTTTAAAATTTTTTAAAACATTTGCGACGGAATGCGACGGAAAAAATTCCATCGCAATTTGCGACGGAATTATCCGTCACTTTCCGTCGCAAAACGCAGATTTTTTCGACCGTTATACGTTTGCGACAGCGCTATACCGACGAAAATAAGTCCGTCGCATTCCATCGCAAATTCTTAATTGCAACGGATTTCCTTTATATTTGCGACGGATTTTTCCGTCGCTATACAACTGTTTTTTTGTAGTGGTAAAGGGTGAACATGATGAAATAGTGTGATCAGTATAAATTTAACGTTATGAATAATGTGACCATCATGTGACCAAACCGTAATTATGGTCACATGGTTACAATTGAAGAATGATATGAGTTGAAATTCAAATAGTATATGGAGGGTATTTTTTATAATGCCCCACTTAGATACTTACTTTTCCTTTTAAATTTTTAATGTAGAAGAACATGAACCGATTTGGTTTGGTCCGGTTTACTACTGTAATTTTAACCGGTCCTTGATGGGAGTGAAAAAGTGTGTAGGGTTAAAATTTTGAACACCATTCCCGGAGGAGACCAAGTAGATTTTGGGCAAAGCGTGAGGTAAAAAAGCTGGCAACTCAATTGAAACCCCATTTACGTACTCATCTTTCACAAAACCCTAGTTTCATGCTCTTCTTTTTACTTTAAATTCCATAACTGTTTGTGCCTATACACACACACACACACATCTGCATGTATGTATGATACGATAGTGGATCTCATAATCATCATCACATTCGATTCAATATTTTATTTGTTTTTATGATTTGAATGTCAGATGTATAATTTTGACTAAGCCTTAAACTTTTAAAACTTCTACCAAATAGCCATGAACTTTTTTATTGATTGAAAAGAAAAAAAAAATCTTAAACTTTTATGAGCTAACGACTTAACTATTCAGTTAATTTATTTTAGTTTATGTTGTTTGTAAATGAGTTTTGTGTCAAAAAATAAATATTTTAGTTTGGAAAAAATAGACTTATTTATAATATTATCTAAAAAAATAGAATCCTTTTTAAAAGTAACATGAATTCAAATTTTCTATGATTATATGTGCCATATGGAAGTATATATTTATTTATTATTTGTTGGAATTTTTTTTTTAATTTTGTTTAATTCCTTAATTATGTGTCTACAAATCTCAACGCTTTGGCCTCCTCATGTTACTACACACACTACTTCCCCCAAAGCTTCCTCACCACCTTAACATATCGATACACAGTTCCCTATCCCTTTTTTAAAAAAAATTTAATTAATAAACCCTTAAGTCTTAATTTATCAATAGATTTATTATAAATTCTTCATGGATATATGCAGTTAGGGTTTTTAAGTAGATTGTCTAATTAGCTTTGCGATGTTATTCTTCTGTTTTTTTTTATTGGTCCATTTTATATAATATAAATCCTATATCATTAGGCTGCTTATGTTACACCATTGCCGTTGTTGATGATATATAATCATATAATATTTTAATGTGAATCTAAAAATAAAAGAAAGGAATTTCGTTGGCACTGTATATAAAAAATAGCACGGCGATCAACTCCCGCATTTGCTTGTTTTTTAGTTGGGGAACTTTGAAGTGGAAAACATGAAGGAAAAGGAAACTTTGTAGAAAACGACATTTTGAGAAGTCCATTTTTTACAATTTATAAGAAAACTGATTCTTATATTAAATTTAAAAACGATATTATATGAACATATGTTATGGTTTTTTAACACAATGAATTGAGGATAACAAAAACTTGTCAAATCCCCAACATTACAGTTAATTGCAGAAGCTAAACTATATAGGAATAAAAGAAATCGACAGCTAATTAATGTGTATTTGATTATTCATTGATTGAGTTATTTAATATTTGTATTAATTATTGGATATTTGAAGATAACTATAAAAGATCATTTCTAAGAGAGAGAGAGAGAGAGAGAGAGAGAGAGACAAGAGAAGAAGCTTTTGTCTTATTGTAAGAATTTCAAAATTTCAGTGCTTTGTTTTGTAGTTCTCCGCCGCAGCTTCCATTCTCTTTCTATTCTTTTCTTTTTTTCTTTACTTTAATCCCAAAAGATTCCAATGTCACATGAGTGCATTAATCTTTTTCCTAAATAAGAAATTAAACGTCCAATAAATTTTAAATATACATTGTGTGGTGGTGCTCTTCTGGTAATTCGAGTGAAAATGTCGAATAGTAATTGATATTTGCATTTAAAAAACAAAAAAACGAAATAGGAAATTTTTATAAGAAAATCCAAAGTTTTAAATTGTTTTGTTTGTGACGGAGAACAGTTATTATTAGGGGGACAATATCTGCGTATTAGAAGACAACAGTGTACCACAATAACAAAATTAAAAATACCTGCTCTCATTTTGTTCTTCACAAATTAATTAAAAATTGTTTTTTTTTAAATCACAACCCGAGAACCATTATGATATCAATTCTCCCCATTTCTGACACCACGCAAACACAAAAAGACAGAACTATCCAAATGTCTCGGCCGAACTCCCTCGTAGCTTGAAGGGTAGTTTCGTCATTTCAATCCCCAAAGCCCTCGGACGTTGCATTTTAATAATCATCATCTCCATCGCGCCTTGCCTGTTACGCTGCTCTGTTTCAGACAACACGAAACGTAGAAGCGTTTTTAGTGAGAGAAAGCGTCTTGAGAGAGAGAGAGGACCCGACCCGGATCCGGATATGGCGAACGGGTGGGTCAAGTCATTGCAATGCAAGTCGAAAGCTTTCGACGACGTTTACCATCCGACCCAAAACCCTAAACATCTCATGTCGAGTTACAGTTGCAGAAAGAGCACTCAGAGCCTCAAAGATGTGATCGATACCAAGAAACCCAGAAAACCGAAACCGAAAACAGAGAAGCGAGAACCGGAACCGGTCTCTGTCCATCTTAACCGGAACCTGAACCGGGTTTCTGACCCCTTTTTGCCGGCGTTAACGGAACTCGCGGAGGGTCATCCGTCGCGTAAGGTCGTGGAGATCATATTCCAGACGAGTTGGGGACCCAAATCGTTCTCGGGTCGGGTCGATATGATCTTCAAGGTGCAAAATGGGTTGAAAACCGTGACCCGGTTCGAGGAGTACCGGGAGGCGGTTAAGGCAAAGTCGAAGGCGCGTGAGGGGAACGCTCGGTCAACAGCCGACGGGAACGAGACGATGAGATTCTTCTGTTTGGGGTCTACCTTCGCTGGGGTTTGCGGCGGCGCGTGGGGATTAGTACTCAGCGGAAAAGGCGGTGGCGCGTCGATCTGCACGTTCTCCGGGAGCTGTACGGCGCACGAGAAGGCCGGAGGAGGGAGGGGGAGGCGGGCGATGCTGGTTTGTCGGGTCATAGCCGGTCGGGTTGCGAAACGGGTCGAGTTCGGGTATGACTCGGTCGACTCGGACCTGCGAGTCCGGTTCGACTCGGTGAGTGGAGACGACGGCGAGTTGGCCGTGTTCGATCCACGTGCGGTATTGCCTTGTTTTCTCATTATCTACCGGTTGTAAAAAAAATTCAAAGCTTATAATTAGTGGAGTTTTATTTTAATTATATTTATGTTTCGGGGTTTATTATGAAAATGTAATTTCGTTTATCAACATAATTTTCCCACAGTTTCCGGAGATATTTTTGGAGATAAACATGTATGTTCCCATGTATATGTTGGAAAATTGTGATGATAAATGGTAATTAATTTCTTGTTTTTTATTTCTCCAAATGGTAATTAATTTCCTTTTGACTAACTGTTTCGATTTGCTTATTAATGCGGCCGTAAATTTTGTGGAAATTTGGTGCTGTTGGTCCTGTCAATATCAAACATGTCATAAATAGATTTTATTACACAATCAATTTCATCTTTTATGCGGTTGGATTTGATTCTTGTACATTTATTTCATTATCTACACAGTAAAATCTATTTATTTATTGTACAAAAATCCTTACATTATACTACGCCCTCGAAATCTATTCCTTGGGTGCCGTGTTCGATCCACGTGCGGTATTGCCTTGTTTTCTCATTATCTACCGGTTGTAAAAAAAATTCAAAGCTTATAATTAGTGGAGTTTTATTTTAATTATATTTATGTTTCGGGGTTTATTATGAAAATGTAATTTCGTTTATCAACATAATTTTCCCACAGTTTCCGGAGATATTTTTGGAGATAAACATGTATGTTCCCATGTATATGTTGGAAAATTGTGATGATAAATGGTAATTAATTTCTTGTTTTTTATTTCTCCAAATGGTAATTAATTTCCTTTTGACTAACTGTTTCGATTTGCTTATTAATGCGGCCGTAAATTTTGTGGAAATTTGGTGCTGTTGGTCCTGTCAATATCAAACATGTCATAAATAGATTTTATTACACAATCAATTTCATCTTTTATGCGGTTGGATTTGATTCTTGTACATTTATTTCATTATCTACACAGTAAAATCTATTTATTTATTGTACAAAAATCCTTACATTATACTACGCCCTCGAAATCTATTCCTTGGGTACCATTTTCCAATAAATATTTCAAAATTTCAAATTCTATAAAGGTGAACCAACTCATGTAAATTAACTTTTTGGTTTTGTGAATATTATATATGATACCTCGTATTATTTCGTTTTATAACACATTATTTGTTCATGCCTCGTGACATAATGTGAATCCTATTGGCTAAATTGGGCCTATAAGAGGTGTAAGGCCCATGAGGCCCAATAACAAAGCAATTCTCAAAGGGTTGGGAAATTTATCGGATGAAGTGTAATGTCCATTAGGCCCACCAGCAGTGTAAGGGCCCACAGGCCTATATACGTATAATTACAACAATAAATACATTACAACCTTAAAAAAAAAAACAAGAAAGAAATCTTTAATGTACCTAATAAAGCAATCATTAATTTATTATTCTTTTTTCTTATCTTATTATAACAAAATTAGAAAAATAATCTGATATATAAATACCAGGAATGATGCCTAAAAAAGCTACTAAGTAATGATAATTGATTAATATGATATCCTATCGTAAGATCTACCAAAAAAATAAATATGATAGCTTATGTATATAGTTACACATTTACTGCTGAAAACTTAAAATTGGAGAGAATTTCATATAAATATTCAACTATGTAAAAACTAACAGATTAAACATTGAATAGGAATTTTTTTTTATAGATTTACAATAAATTTTTAAATAAATATCGAATTTAAAACACATTTTTATATAAACTAAACTATCAAAATTTGGTCAAATTTGATTTGAACCCTAAACGCGGTGACAAAGACAATGAAGTGTGTCGATCAATGGATATTGAATAAACTATATAAAAATAAAGTTTCAATTATATAAATTTTAGATATTGAATATATTATACAAAAGAATCGTTCGCATTTCATACGTATAATTCGTAATTCGGTTATATAATCGTAATTTATAAATTGAATAAATCGAATATTATGAATGAACCTTGCCCACAATTGCTTATACATACAACCAACTAGGCAACTACTTATCAACCAACATAAACGAGTGTTAATAAATATCACACAATTATTTTTATATGTATGTATTTTTGTTTTATTATTTTATTCATTTATTTATTTTTTAAAATATGATATGGCATCATCATACCTGACAAATTTTGGTAGTTTGGTTTTTGTAATCCCGAGACGTAGCACGAACATCATGCAAAGGAAGTCCATGCCGTGTCTCGGTCCACTGATTTTCCGATGTTCGAGAAGGTTTCCGGTTACAAGTAACAACATCATTTATACACTGCAACCACTGATCGGACAGACAAAATTTTTTATTTAGTTTTTTTTCTCAATCCATAAAATTATAATCAAAGGCGTCTAATTGGAGACATCAAAATGGGTTAATTTAGAAAATAACATATAAATATCTAAACTTTTATGAAAATCCCACATAAATATCTGAACTATAAAATTTCCATATAAATACATGAACTTTTAAAAATTTTATATAAATACCTAGACTTTTGAAAAAATTTCTAAATTAATACAAATTTCAGGTATTTTTTAAATAAAAATAATTGATGTTATTAACAGATTTTGGGTTTATTTGGGAGTTTTTCAAAAATCTAGATATTTATATAGGATTTTAAAAAAGTTCAGGCATTTATATAGAAATTTTATAGTTCAGGTATTTATGTAGAATTTTTGTAAAAGTTTAGGTATTTATATGCTATTTCCCTGTAATTTAACGCAACCCAAAAATAATTTTATTTGAAGTTATAGTAATTGAATGAGTTTTATAGATATACTCTATTAAAATTATGGGTTAAATGTTACCAATGGGGTCTTTTTTTTTCCTACAAAAATTAATAGATTAAATTAATAAGTTGAAGGACAATCCTTCGCTACAACCCGAGAAAACCACTCAGGACAGAAGTTTGAACATAATACAAAAAGAGATTTACGATTCAACGCAAATTTCGCAATCGCATCAGCTGGAGAATTACTATTCCTTTGTATATGAGCCAAACTGATACTCGGAAACCTCTCCCAAAGCACTTCAATTTCTTGAGTATATCTCTGCCAACTTAACGACTTCTTGTTGTTATTGATCTCTTCTACAACTTCTTTCGCATCCACCTCCAATAGCATAGACCTACAACATCTTTGTAACATGCATTTCATCGCCCATAGTAGTCCGGAAAATTCTACCTCCATAGGGGATTCAGGAGCACGTATTGCTCGGATACCCCAACAAATAACTTTACCTTCATGATCTCTTAGTAACCATCCCATACCACAAAAATCATCCAATGGGGTCTTTAAACATATTTTTGTTCAGGTAATACAAAGCGCGTTCGTATAAAAAAAAATATGGGTAAACCCATTAAACCCATTTAATCAAATATGAGTATAAACCTTATTTTAATTGTATTAGTAAAATCATAATCGAATTCATTCAAACTAAATAATATAGAACCAAATTCTATATAACATCATATGAGAATGAGAATTTTAATAAAAAAATCCAATGCGAATCAAAATGACTCGAATTCGAATCAAAACAAATCGATCCAAATAGAAATGAATCTATTCAAATAGAAACGAATCAAATGTGAATCCGAGTGAATTGATTCGAAATGAATTTGAATTAGAACGAATTGATCCGAATCAGAATGAATCAATTCGTATGGAGTCCGAATCGAAACGAACCGATATCTATTTAATTCAAATGTGAATATTTTATAATAAAACATTGGTATTATAGTACATCTATATAATCTTATAAATATTAAATTTTATAGATATCTATTTAATTCAATCAAATTCATGAAATACAACACTAATCATGTGAATTTTTTTTTATAATCCGAAAGTTCACCGAATTTTTTATCCGACTATATTTCTCAGAGGATCGAAAAAGTCCGGGTAATTTTTTCATTTGCCTCATTACGGTCTAAATCATTGTATTTTTTACAAACTAAGATTTGATCACTTTTATCCTAAAAATTTAAAACTAATCGTGTCATACATTGTTTATATAATAGTATAAAATTTAAAATTTTGTAAGAAATCTGTGACATAACATCTCTTAACATAAGAAAGTGGCACATGCGGTTTTGATTGTTGGCTATGGATATATATAAAGAATGAGGAATTGTTTTTTCTTATTCGGAATTCATGGGAAGTTAATTGGTCTCATGAAGGATACGGTAGAATTTTCATTAACTATAATTGTTTTTGTTAATTTAGATGTTCACCGAGCTTCAGCCCAACTACATCTCCCAAGATCCGAAGATAGTTTGTGTACCAAAATTAAATTGTGTACAACAATCACTTGAATATAGGAATTGGGATAACAACACCCTACCCTTCTCAATCAAGAACTATTCGGCCGATTATGATTGGATTATTAACCATAATTTCATAATCGTTTACGACAATGAAGACAATAGGTGGGTCTATATTTATATTTATTGTTATTTTGGGTTTTTTAAATTTTGTTATAATGTATATGTTTTTATTTTGAAGTAGTATGAATAAAAAAAAATAGGTTAGATAGAACTCAGGAGACCACAACAAACAAAAGATGATAATATAGTTTAATACTTTTCAAAACCATATATTGATACTAAGGACGCAGAAGTGAATCAAATATATTTTAATGAAAAAGTATCAACTTGCTATTGGAAAAAAAAATATTGGTTTAATGTTAAACCTTTATAATTTCATCAGTACTTAAATTTTATAGAAATCTATTTGATTCCGTCAAATTAATAAAATACAAACTAATCATATGGTTATTTCATTTGTCCCAATAAAGTTTAAATCATTATATTTTTTTTACAAACTAAGATTTGGTCAGTTTTATACTAAACAAAATAAAAACTAACACTATGTCATATTTGTGAGTTATATATATATTTTATCAAAATAATATTAGTTCAACAATACATATGAAATCAAATCCACTTTTAATTTAAATAAACATGAGTTGGAACTTCATTTAGTTCGAATTATATTGTCTTAAATTTACTTCTTATTCTTATTGTTCTTATTATCCCATTTTGTTTATGATTTTTAAAATATGAATAATTATCTCTATAGGATCTTTCGATCTAAGTTAGATGAATCATGAAAAATGTGGTTTATAAGACTAAAAGTTAGTAAAAATATATATTTTTTAATCTGAACAATTGCACTTATAACTGTAAAACATTGAAAATTGGTGTCAACATACAATATAAGAGACATGTATTGAGTAGACCCATCTGTATATGATAGATACTTAAACTTTCACTATATTTACTTTGGTTTATATCCAATTTTTGTTATTGACTTTCTTTTTTAGCATTTCAAAAGATTAATATCAAAATATAAGATTGCATTAATCTTTACATTCTTATTTGAGATATTTAATCATTAGAAGATTCCTAATCAAAACTATATCGAGATGTCACTCTAAACAAACCATGCAATTATCTATTCGAAACATTAACAATATATAAAGTTAAATATATTCAATGACAACCTAAAGTCTCTTTCGTTATTTTAAAGAAAAATGTTAATTTTTATTTTAAATCTAGTTAATAACCCATGACATCTTCTAAAAAATTTCTATTTTTATAATTTTGTGGATTATGGTATAGAACCAAGGATTATAATGTGAACGATCGGAGCAGTGTTTGAAAAAAAATTTTACAACTCGATAAAAGAGTTTCACTTTTAAAAAAAATCAATGAATACCTAAAAAATGTAACTAATTATAGTTTGGCAAATATAATTTTAAACAACAATGTAAATTTGGTTAGTATCATAAATCCAAAAATAATGTATTTTTTTAATAAAGACTTTACAATAAACATTAGTATAATATTAAATCTATATAATCTCATCAATATTTAAATTTTATAAATATCTATTTAATTTAATCAAATTTATAAAATATAATACTAATCATGTTTTAAGATAAATAGTCCATAAATTTATTTTTTGTTTGTAAAAAAAGATTACGAGTCTCCGAATTTTTTTTTAAAAAAATAATATTGTTGATATGAGAGAAAATAACTATTTTAAAAGTAATTTTATTCTAGAGGGTAAATTATCTTGATAATTTTTTTCTTCTAATGAAGTATCTTAATTTGCTCGACAAATGAAAAAAAAAATAAAAAAATGTGTAAATACTTAGATATTAATATAAATTACATAATCATACTCAAACCTTTTATAGACATTTAATTATCAATATGTACTTAATGCTTATTCTAATCAATGAACATAGAGATATAAATATAAATGATCTGAGTAGTCCATTGTTAAAATAAATAAAAAAAATTCATGTCTTTATTATATGGGCTACGTCTATTCATTTGATACCTTGTATTGTTGGACATCTTGTTGGAGGAGGATGAACCAATAAGATAAATCCTTTCGTTTTCAATTTATTTGCAATTGATTTTTAGTTAATTAATTAATCTAAGAGATTAATTAGGACAAGTTAATTAATTGCATAGGAGATTTCCTATTTAATGAATAAAGACTGTATCATTGTATCAAGTTTAATAATCACGAGGGATGATGACCGTTGTATCAATAATTAATCTTTTTTTCTTAGTTATTAATTACTCCATTAAACACTATTTTATCTTTAATTAATTTATATTATTAATTTGACATATTAATAAATGAATTCTTCAATTCTACCAAATTTTCAAACACGCACGTTGTCAAATGAAAAAAATTACACATTATATATATGCACACGTATGAATTTAATTTTTTTTATTAGTTTTAACTATTTTTTATTTTTTATTATGTTAATATTTTCTTTTATTTTTTATTTGTGTGATGATGTGGCAACTTCACTTACGTGGAGACAACATGATTCCTATGTGATAAATAAAAATAGTAAGATTTAATTAATGGTGCAATAATTACATGAGGGAGTTTGGGAGAAATTGAAAATTTTATATATTAATATGTCAAATTAATAATTCGTGTATTTTTATGGTATATGATCATAATTTTTGTGTTTGTATGGGATTTTTTTATTATGTTTAATATCTATTGTGATATTTGAAGGATAATAATTGTGATGAATTTAAAGTTCTCCGCATGTCTTTTATTACTTATTTTTTGATGAATAAGTAATAAAAGACATGCGGAGATGTCTTTTATTACTTATTTGTTTAAGCCTTTGTGGTTCCTCATTTTAGCATCTTATGATATCGAATTCTACAGATAATGTGCAATTTGAATAATCATATTCTAAAACTTTTAATTTCTTGTTTTAGAATTACATAGCAGTTTAACCCAATTCCAATTATATTATTAGTTTCAAAATTATGGAAATTTACTCATTAGCTATCAATATATTATAAATTTTAAATGAAAAATAGTTTGATAGAGAGGCAAAACATATATTAAAAAGCAAAAAGCAAAACGTCTACGGAACTTGTTTTTCTATTAAATTATATAGTTTTCGGGTGTTGTATCTTTATCAGTTGGTGGTAGGGTTGGGCGTTTCGGTTCGGTTCTTCGGAACCGGACCGAACCGAACCGTTAAAACGGTATTTTTTCTGACTCGAAACCGCTGTTATTTTCCGAACGGTACCATTTTCAGAGAATCGAATTTTTCCGAAACCGAACCGAATCGAATTTTAAAAATCTCGAAAAACCGAATATTTTTAAAGGAAATCTATCATTTTTTTAATATAACCCGGAACCGAACCGAACCGATATCGAAAGCGAACCGAACCGAATACAATAAAAAACCCGATTGGTATCTATTTTTGTAAAACTGAAAGAACCGAACCGATCCATTCCATCCCGAACCCGATCTGTTTCCCGAAACGCCTACCCCTAGTTGGTGGTATACAGAGAAATGAGTTGGATTCCGTGTGGACCGTCCGATTAAAATTTTTCTTGGTATGATATCATGCGGTCATTTTTTTTTTATATATTGGAAAGGTCCTTTGTAAAGGAAAAGGTGCTTTAATAGATTTTAATAATTTTATCCTTCGCATAATATTTTTTATAAATTATAAATTGAAGAAATTTTAGTCCAAACACTATAGTTGTCGTCTTCGCATTCACTTCGAATGCTTGAAAAAAAGTTGTAAACAAAATTCATTTTAGCAAATGAATAAAAAAATCTTTTTTTTTTGCAATTTCTCTTCATTATTAATATATATGGCAACTCGTTTTCTTTTTATTTTTTTTGTACGTCCTAGTAATTTCATCTGAATATAAGAAATAATTTGCGTATGCCACTCAAATTATATAATGTATATGATTAAAATACGTTTTTGTGGGTAGATACAATTGAAATAGCTTATTTAAATGTTAAAATAGACATAAGCTTTAAAAAATGTAATTACTAATCCAGATTAGACAACAAAGTTGATGACCCAATTCTATTTTCACCACTCAAATATTTTCAAGGTTATATAATTATCCATATTCGACTAATAAATTTTGGATTATCCAAGTTTCCTTATGCATAATACTAGTAAGACATTTTTATTTACTTTGGCCCAGTTTTTTTCAAATGTAAAAAATATTTAATTTATTTCCATGAAAAAAAACAAATTTATTCTCATCAATGAGCCCCATAGGCAGGTGAAGCGTGACACGATGAAAAACATGCAATCATACAACAAATAAAACACTACAAATTTTCCAAACAGAAAAGAGAAGGAAAAAAAATCATCACTTAATTATATACTACAAAAAGTCATCCTTAAGCCGATGGCACCATCCTCCAACCCAATCACCACGCGACACGTGGCGGTGATAGGCGCCGGAGCCGCCGGGCTCTCCGCCGCCATGGAGCGCGGGAACCAAATCGGAGGCGTATGGGCATACACTTCGCGGGTCGAACCGGACCCGATGAGCCTCGACCCGAACCGAACCATCACCCACTCGAGCCTCTACAGCTCTCTACGAACCAACATCCCCAGAGAATGCATGGGCTTCACCGACTTCCCCTTCGCGACCCGACCCGACACCGAAAACGGGTCGAGAGATCCGAGAAGACACCCCGGTCACACCGAAGTTCTCGCCTACCTGCGAGATTTCGCGAGAGAGTTCGAGATCGAGGAGATGGTCCGGTTCGAGACGGAGGTTGTGAGAGTCGAAACGGCGGAGGAGGAAGGCGGCGACGGTCATCGGAGATGGAGAGTCAGGTCGAGGAGCTTGAGCTCCGGCGACTTCTCGGACGAGGTTTACGACGCGGTTGTCATCTGCAACGGTCACTACACAGAGCCACGTCATGCTCATATTCCTGGTAAATAAAGCTACCGACTTTCGACAATTTTTTGGGAAAAAGCTCGAATCTTTTACTGCTTTTTCCGATTCTGAAGATCTGGGTTTGTTTTTTTAGGCATAGATTCTTGGCCAGGGAAACAGATTCATAGCCATAACTATCGAGTTCCTGAGCCGTTCCAAGATCAGGTACTCTGGTTTCATCACTCTGTTCATGCAGATTAGATACATTTGATTGTATATGTTTGTATATATCCATGGATCGATGCAGTAATGACCGATTCATTGTTTATTACAGGTTGTTATAGTGATCGGAAGCTCAGCAAGTGGAATTGATATAAGCAGAGATATCGCCAGAGTTGCGGCAGAGGTTCATATCTCGTCTAGATCAACATTAACCGACACATTCGAACAACTTCCCGGTCATGAGAATCTTTGGCTCCACTCTACGGTAAGAAAAAGAATCAGGATACGACAGAAATTTGATCTAAGAACGCAACTGATGGTTATCGATTCCTTGGAACGTGCATTGCAGATTCAGAGCGTGCATGAAGATGGTTCGGTGGTTTTCCACAATGGAAAAGTGGTATTTGCAGATGTTATTATGCATTGCACAGGGTGAGAATACTCTCTGTTTCGAGTTTTTCCGCCTAAATTTGGAAGAAAGAGTTGAAAGCAATCAAGGGTATTCTTAGACAGTGATCTGAAACGTGTTTGGGTGCCAAGAAAAGCCGAGAAAATTAAGATCAGAGGAAAAACCATCGAGTACTGTAAGATACAACATTTTTTTTTTTGTTATGAGTCGGTTAATGTCATCTAATGGATACTTTCGCTAATATATATCAAGGTACAAGTATCATTTCCCGTTTCTCGAAACGAACGGCTACGTGAACGTAGATGACAACCGTGTTGGCCCGTTGTACAAGCACGTCTTTCCCCCGGCACTTGCCCCTGGCCTTTCCTTCATCGGCTTACCATGGCAGGTCCATAACGGTTTGATATATTTTTTATCATGTTTGACAAACATTTAAATGGTATTATTGCATAATTTCTATTCAAATATGGATTATGGAACTGATGTATATTCTTCTGTTGTTTAGATCACTCCATTTCCCATGTTTGAGCTTCAAAGCAAGTGGGTTGCAGCCGTTTTGTCTGGTCGGGTTTCACTCCCATCACAAGACGAGATGATGGAAGACGTTAAGGCATTTTACTCAGAGCTCGAAGACTCGGGTATTCCCAAGAGATACACACATCTCATGGGCGATTCTCAGGTACCTTTTCACAATAGTATAAGGGTATCATCGTAGTTATGTAACCGTATAGTACAATGTATGTATGGATATGTAGAGAAAATACGGTAGAAACCTAGGTTAAATCATTTACATAATTACGATCGATAATACCCTTTTATAGCGCCAAACCCGCGGCACAAACACGATATACAGGCAATGGAGTTTAGGGTTTAACATTCTTTCCGTGATGATTTTGGATGCAGTTTGAGTACGATAACTGGCTCGCCGAACAATGTGGATGCCAACCGATCGAGAAATGGAGAGAGCAAATGTTTTGTATCGGTTTCAAGAGAATATACGCTCAATCCGATACGTATAGGGACAAATGGGACGATGATCACCTCGTTGAAGAAGCATACGAAGATTTCGCCAAGTATTTGAAGAAATCGTCAAGCAAGTTTCAATCTTTCTCCGAGACTCGAAACCTAAAAAAGTAGCTGGATTCGATTCGTAATGTTGTAAGTGTCGTTGTGTTGTTATTGCCTCGTGGCTTCTGAAGTGTAAGAAGAAATGGAGAATGATAATAAATGGTTTAGAGCTATATGTGGGAGGAACAGGGGGATAACTGTGTAAAAACAATAATATTGGGGTGAATGTTGGAAAATATAATAAAAAGAGGGGGTCATTTGTGAATACTGAAGTGAATGTAAGGGAAATAAAATAATGCGCCTGCGGGTTGCAACCGCATGTTATTACTCGGCGAATCTTTGCATAATATATATAGAAGTACCCTTCGTTTCTCTCCGAGACTGAAGTTCTTCAGAGGCAAAATCTCCTGCAGCAATTGGCGTCTATGTCGTCAATCAAAGCGCACCACGTGGCGGTGCGTGAGCTCCGTCACGACGGTCACTCGGTGGTCGTCTACGAGCGGCACAGCCAAGCCGGAGGAACATGGATCTACTCCGATCACATTGAACCCGACCCGTTAAGCCTGAACCCTACCCGGCCCGGCGAGAGACGGCGGGAAACGGAGGATCGAGTCGACGAAGAAAAGGGAAGAGAAGTTCTCGTGATGAGATCTGTGATGGCAGTTGTTGTCTGTAACGGACATCACACAGCCTCGTCTCGCTGAAATTCCTGGTAATTCCTTTGTTTGCCTTGATTCTGATTTTGTAAATTTGTCTTACTTTGGTCGTTTTGATATGTGGGTTTTGAATGGCGTCGCTTAAATTTGATAAAGTTTCATGCTTTTCAGCCTGAGTATTCATGTTCTTATGAAAGTCAGATGGAATGTGTCCATGAAACTTCACAAGGATTAGTGAAAGGAGGACTGAAAGATCAATCATAAAGATCAGGCGAGATTCATCATCAAGAAGATATCTGATTCTTTCAGTCTTTATATTGTGGTGATCTTCAATATTATCCCCCAAAACAAGCGTTTTCTTTGTCCTTTCTCTGGCTGTTCACTGATTTTCTGAGTTTTGCTTTCATTTTGCAGGTTCCTGTGTTGAATGGAATCTCGGCCGGCGCTGTTGATATAAGCACAGACACTTCCTAGATCAAATGCTGCTGATACATGTATAAAGAATAAAAGAAAGCAGCCCGATTTCGATAATCTTTGGATTCATTCTATGCGGTGAGATGCTTCCTAACTGATGATTATCCATTCAGAAACCCAAAAAAAAAATGATTGTCTCTAATGACTCGATGTTTCTTTCATTGCAATGCAGACAGAAGGAACACAACAAGATGATTATGTGGTGTTCCTAAATGCAGGAACGGTCTTTGTTGATGTTATTATGTCTGTTCTTTCCCCTTCCTCTCTGTTCTAGTGTTTAGAAATTTCCCGGGGGTTATGGCGAAAGTGGAAAATGGAATTGCCCTGGTGAATTTAGAAAGTTATTTTCCTTTGCAGAAGGTACAAGTATCACTTCCAGTTTCTTGAAACCAATGGAATAGTTGCAGTGGACCATAACCGTGTTGAGCCACTGTACAAGGATGTCTTCCCACCGAAACTGTCACCAGCGGCTCTCTCCTTCATCCGTCTCCATGGACGGGTCGGGTCAAGTTCAAATCTTTCACCCGAACCACGCTTACATTCAGCGTGAATTCTCGATCAGTAACCACATTTTTCAGGTCACACCATTCTAAATGCAGGTGTTCTCAAAGGATCGTCAAGAGAGAGATGTAGATAGACTCGTAACAAAGGGCAATGCAGAGGTAAAAAGATCTCATCTTTTTTTTCCCACTCTAAAGACCAATCCAATCCCAAAACAGACTCCGTGTTGTTTCTCATCGTTTCGATCTTGTCTGGTTTACAGTTTGAATTGTGGAACAGAGGAATGGAGAAAAGAGAGATGTATTTTCTTCCTGAGGGTTCTTAAGGGGTTTTCTCTGTAGATTCATTTGTAAGCAGCAAAACCCAATGATTAAAACTAAAGACATCTACTTTCGTTCACAAAGTTATTACAGTCTACCCAAAGCAATCTGTGAGTCCAACCACTCAGACAATGCCATGTCTGGTAATGCTTACGTGTCACTTCCTTGTTCAAGGTTTCATGGAAAGATTATCGTACGAAATCCTCTCTGTGGAATCGATCATGGGAGAGAGAGAGAGTTTGTTGTGTTCATGGTATTGGGATTTCCTCGAATTGAGCAGGCACTCTCACGCTTTTGTCTGCTCTTGCTTCTTTTCTTCTTCGGAGCTTCCAAGGATATAAAAAGGAAGAAGGAAAAAAATAAATCCAGAAAAGGAAGCAAAAAGAATCAAATTTCACGAATCCAAGGGAGAAAAATATAAACTTTTCCGATTCATTTGTGTGTTTATTTGCATCTCTCTCTCTTCTCGCGACCTTCTGGTTCGCGGCTAATGCAATTTCCTCCATTTGCATGTCGATTCTCTCGAATTCGATTTAAAAGATACTTGATTTCTGCATCAGAGCCTTGAATACTTTCCTCTGTCTCACTCTCTCTTTCTCTCTCGTTCGTTCTGTGTCTGTTTCTATGGCGAATGCATCTGGGTTCTTCACTCATCCTTCGTTTCCGAGCCTGCGAAGCAGAACCCACGTCCCGATCGGTGTTTCTGGATCTGGGTTATGCATGCCGAAAGGAATCTCGAAGAGGGTCTTGTGCTCCGTCGGTGGCGCCGAGAAGCATGCTTCGCCTTCGCCATCCGAATCTCGATCCCCGAGGTTTGATTTCTTAATTCTTTTCGTCGTGAATCCTCTCGTCCTCAGTTGGTGGTGCGATTCCTCTAGGTCTTTTATGGTGAGGCATATGAATTCGCGGATTCTGGGTCCGTTCGGAGAACTCTGTTTGGTTGGAAGGAAAATGCTTTTAAGATTTCTCCATGAGTTGATGATCCTGTCGTCACTGGATCAAAGCACATTGCGTGTTCCTGCTCTTATATCTTGATGTGGTGTTGATACGTTCTAAGTGATGAAATTTGCATCTGGTTCTCTCGCTTCCACCATTGCTGCTTGAGAAATTGAGCTTTCATGTCATTGAATCTGCACGTGGAATTTGGATTTGGTTTCACAATCTCGCACCATTCGGAATGTCTTTTAGATAGTTGATTAATCACCAAATCCCTCCTTCAATTCCGAGTTCGAATTAGTTTTGGAGAATTACTTCATTTACGATTGCATTTTACGGAATGCATGCAATGTCTGATCCGTGCCCTTCTTTATCCATTCATCGTTCGGACAAAACAAAGGGTCGTGGCCAAAGGCTGCAAGTTGATCGGATGTGGTTCAGCTAAACGTTTGTATTGGAACCTCGAGGTCCTTAATTGTGCCAATGAATCAGATACAAGTGATAACAAAAAAAGATTGAATTGAGTAATCGGGCCTAATGCCTAAAAGAATATTTGGATAAAACCAAAGTCCAATTCCGGTTAACGGGTTGTGTATTTAATCAAGTTCGATCTTTAGCCCGGTTTAGGAGAATAATGGGTTGGTCAATAAGGTGAATGGATATCAACTCGCACCGGTATCCGCAGCCGTCGGGTTCTTTCAGGTAGCCTGACCCGTATTCTCGTTATCGTGTCGGTTTCGGTATAGCGAAATCGAGGCAATTGATTTTGGACAATTTTGGTTTCAGGGGAAGATAGCTTGACCGGCCTAGCGATACAAGCATCGGCAAAAGCCCTTGAAATGGCAGAGGTCGATCCCGAAGATATAGACTTGGTCTTGATGTGCACATCCACTCCCGATGATATATTCGGTACCGCTCCACAGGTATTCTACATGAAGATCGAATTTCCGATTTCTTGTTCTTGACCAGAATGTCAAACTGGCTTGTTTTGTGACGGTTTCTCTACTGAATGCAGATTCAGAAGGCACTTGGTTGCACAAAGAATCCCTTATCATATGACATAACTGCGGCTTGTAGTGGATTCGTTCTGGGTCTAGTCTCGGCTGCTTGTCATATAAGAGGTGAATGATATCTAACATTTTGCTTCTGGACGAGCCTTGAATCATAGCATATATCAGTTATTAAGATTAAGTATATATTTCTGGACCGTTCTTTACCGAGTTTTTTTATTGCTTCAAAATTGCAGGGGGTGGATTTAAGAATGTTTTAGTAATCGGAGCTGATTCTCTTTCTCGGTTTGTCGATTGGACGGACAGAGGGTCCTGCATTCTTTTCGGGGATGCTGCCGGTGCTGTGGTAGTTCAGGTATTACCGAAACCTCCCCTTTCAAATCCCGGATTCAACCCCTCAAATCAAAAGTCGACCTTTTTATCTGCCAGAACGAGCTGTAACACGGGTTTTCCCCTTCTGTATGGCATTTGTGTCTTAATAACGAAAAAGAGAGGATCTTTATTATACAATGACTAATGAGAACAGAATTATTGAAACAATTTTGTCTTACAAAAGGGCGATCTTTTTTGGGTATTGAAACTACTCTGATGAACGATCCCCTGTCGTTTTCCGTCAGGCCTGTGATGTCGAGGATGATGGTTTGTTCAGTTTTGACTTGCACAGCGATGGAGATGGTCGTAGGTATGTATAACTCCATTTTTCTCATTCTCAAACTCTTAAAGGATTCATCTTTTTTTCTTGAAGAAACCCGACCAGACATCTGCTGTTTTTTTTTTTTTGCAGACATTTGAATGCTTCTCTGATTGAAGCCCAAAAGGACGATGCCTCGGGCACAAATGGCTCGGTATTGGGTGACTTTCCTCCGCAGCAACCTTCGTATTCTTGCATTCAGATGAACGGAAAAGAAGTATTCCGCTTCGCTGTCAAATGTGTACCCCAATCCATCGAGTCCGCCCTTCAAAAAGCCGGTCTTCCTTCTTCTTCCATTGACTGGCTTCTGCTTCACCAGGTATATTCCTTCTTGAAGGTGTAGTGTTTCTATGGCCAGACCATGGATGGAAACGCCGAAAAGTTTGAATCCCTTTTTGCGCCCGGATGGAAGATCTGAAAGCTTTTCTTGTTTCTGCAGGCGAACCAGAGGATAATCGATGGGGTGGCTACAAGGCTGAAGTTTCCGCCGGAAAGGGTGATATCGAACTTGGCGGGATATGGAAACACGAGCGCTGCTTCGATACCGTTAGCGCTGGACGAGGCAGTGAGAAGCGGGAAAGTGAAGCCTGGTCACACCATTGCCACTTCTGGCTTCGGAGCTGGCTTAACCTGGGGCTCAGCCATTATCCGTTGGAGATGAATTTTTTTCACACCACTAGTCAAGTTTCTTTCTTTCTTTCCCCCCACACCACCAAGTGGAAGAAGAACAGACACACCAAAGCCGGTTTTAACCGGTTTGGTTCGGTTAGGGTTGACCGGTTAAACAGATTGGCTTAGAGAGTGGTTCTGCCTGTTCTGTCAAGCGGCATTTTGTCTGAACCGGGGTTTTTTTTTTTTTTTTTTTTTTTTGGTGTTAGTTCTTGGAGATGCTAATAATTATAAGGAGCATTCTTTCTTCGTTTCTGTCTTTTTTTTTTGTAATGTTAAAAGACTACTTTTGTCAAGGTGGTGTTATTTCTTGGAGATGCTAATAATTATAAGGAGCATTCTTTCTTCGTTTCTGTCTTTTTTTTTTGTAATGTTAAAAGACTACTTTTGTCAAGAGTATCTTTAATCTTTTTTTTTTTTATTATCTTGAATTTTTTTTTGTTTTAACTTCTTGACCATCATAACTAAAAATGTTTATTAGGTATTTAAAATTGTTAGAAATTAAAAAATAAATTAATGATTTTAGAGAAAGTATAATCAAACTAGTGTCTTATAATTGAATATTATAAAAAAATAATTATAAGAAACAATTCAATGGTTTTGATAATATTTTCTGATTTTATATATTTTAAAAATATAAAATTCTAATTTTCATTGCGTAATAATTAAATCTTTAGCTAAATATTAATCGAGATTATAAATTGATGAGGAATAATCAGTTATAGTAATTGAGATACCTGACGAAAATTTAGGCACCAAAAAAAAAATTGACCTGAAAAATTTGTTTTTTAATTATATATAGAGATGTATATATTTCTATTTTTATCCTCGAAGAGATATTTAGAAATTAGAAATAAAAGGCACAAAGATATCAACGGCAGGATTTGTTGTTCACTCCGATCAACTCTGCAACTGTAAGCAAAGATGCCACTCTCTTTGAAATCTCCGCCTTCTCCATCTCTCTCTGCGTCGCTCCAAGTACTCTCTTTCTCCCCCTCTTGAATTCATCAATGGCGTGTATATGTGTATGTATAGCTCACAGCTTCGACCTCGAACCTCGCAGAAGGGCAGATGGAGGACAGTCGGATCCAGGTTCGCCGTCGCTCCTCCTCCGTCCGTTCTCTTCAATCTCCGGAGGTCTCCGCTTCCTCGGATTTGTGCTTCCGCGGGCTCATCGTCTCCGTCGTCTTCGTCTCTTGAAGCTGGTATTGTTTCGTCTCTTGAGTGATCGATCGTATAGCAATTCGTGTTATTTAGGATATTTCCTGGATTTCTCGATCGATTTCTGCGGGTTTGAGCTTCAGATGATCTGGGATTTTGTTAATATATCGATGCACCATGTTGGAAATGTGATCTAGGTAGAGTTACAATTGGGTAGCTTTGAATCTTCTCTTAGAAATGGTGTTGCTTCGGTATGTAATTGAATCTTTGGTTGAGTGTTAGTGAATCATGGTTGAATTGTTCTACAGAATTGGTTTTTCCTTATCTCTGTTTGTTGCTCGGATTATGCTTGTAGGTCAGAGCTCTGAACTGGATGCTGTCTCGGCTTTCAGTGAAATCGTTCCAGATACTGTCATTTTCGACGATTTCGAGAAGTAGGGTTCTTTCCCACTTGAGTTTATTCATCAGTAAATTAGAAATCAGATTCAGAAAATACTTGTGGATTGATGTTTTTGTTTTTATTTACTGAAGGTTCCCTCCAACTGCTGCTACTGTTAGCTCCGGTCTTCTGTTGGGTATCTGTGGTCTTCCTGATACAATTTTCCGGGTAACCATTCTGATCTTTAGAAATCCAGAAGAGAAAATCAATGGCATTGTGTTCCATTTCTCATGTTTTGCCCCCACGTAATTGGCTTTTGCACGATGATTAGAATGCGGTAGATATGGCCTTGGCGGATTTTACTTGTACTGGACAGGAAAGCCCTGAGTCTAGATTCTCTTGCTTTTTCAACAAGGCGAGTCTTCTTTGCTCTTAGACTTTTTTTCTCTCTCTTTCAAGGGCATGCTTTCCGTTTTCTGTTCAAGGCTTTTGGGCAATGGCTGGTATTTAATAGTGCAGGCTATCGTCAATGTTGGTGGCGAGTTGGTGAAACTTGTTCCTGGTCGAGTTTCAACTGAAGTGGATGGACGCCTTGCTTATGACACAAATGGAATCATCCGAAAGGTGATTTATCTTTAATGCCAATGGATCTGCCCTTTTCTTAACCTTAATCTATGGTTGTTGGTTGTTTCTTGATTGAGCATTTTTTCTTTCTCTCCAGTAGATTCTCTGACCCGGCATGTGTTATGCGTTTTCTTTTTTAAACCCGAGTCTGGTTTGTTGAAAATTTTGGTTTTTTATTACTGACTTCATCCAATGATGTAACGGTACTTGTTGATATGTAGGTTCATGATTTGTTGAAACTGTACAATGAAATCGATGTACCACATGACCGGCTGCTATTCAAAATCCCTGCAACTTGGCAAGTAAGTATTTTGCTGAGAACTCGAGTATATTAACCCATCATTTCTCCATATCTCTGTTTCGGTTAATCTTGTGCATATTGCTTTCTTAGGGTATAGAAGCTGCAAGATTACTGGAATCTGAGGGTATACAGACGCACCTGACTTTCGTGTACAGGTAGACATCGATTCAATGTACACTGATGAAGTGTTGTTTACTTTGTGGGTATGCCTTGTTTAGATGTGCTAATATCTGTTCTCTAATCCATCCTTTGAAATTGAAATAGAAATTTCTCGGTTTTGTTTAATTTTGTGTGATCTCATTCTTATTCTTTATAATGTCATTCATGCCACTGTCACATCAGCTTTGCTCAAGCTGCAGCAGCTGCCCAAGCAAATGCCTCTGTCATTCAGATTTTCGTTGGTCGTCTCAGGGTAAACTTTCTGAAGATATCAAATGATCAGTTTGTTTTTCGATTTCCTATTTTTTTATGCTGAATCGAACACTCATTCTTCAGGATTGGGCTCGTAATCATTCTGGAGATCCCGAGGTAGAAGCTGCTATTAAAGCCGGGGATGATCCTGGTTTGGCCTTGGTTAGTTTTATTATTACTCTTTCCTTTCCAGATGTCTCTTTTCTCTCAATGCAGCTATTACATGGTGTTTATGTGTAAATGTCACAGGTCAGAAAATCGTATAACTATATTCACAAGTACGGTTACAGATCTAAGCTTATGGCTGCAGCAGTCCGAAACAAGCAAGACTTGTTCAGTCTTCTCGGGTACCTCAAATAGACAAAACCCTTCTACGAAATCCCAGCCGGATAACTTCCATTACCAATCACTGCTTGATATTTATCAACCGATACTGATTCATTTTTTTTCACGTATCTGTCGCCTCGTCCAGTGTCGATTATATTATAGCGCCATTGAAGGTACTGCAATCTCTCAAAGAGTCAGCGACCACACCCGACGAGAAGTACTCATTCGTGCGGAAGCTTTCACCCGAGATTGCAACTCACTACAACTTCACCAACAAAGAGGTCAGTTACTTACTAGCTACCCTCATTTGCAATTCCAGCACTTCAATCCACATTAAAAAAGCTTCCAACTTGGGCTAAAGTTCCGGACTTTTGTTTTGGGTATCCAAGCAATGGTTCATTCGGATAAAAGGGTATGAGTAAAATCCGAAACCAAGATCGGTACATCTCATCATGGTACCAAACCGGTTTTAACCAAATGGGTTTGGGTTTTGCAGCTAGTGAAATGGGATCAGCTAGGCATGGCGTCAGCCATGGGAGCTGCATCTGTGGAGCTTCTTTCTGGTGGAGTGGAAGGTTATGCAAACCAAGCCAGACGCGTTGAAGAGCTCTTCGCCAAGATCTGGCCTCCTCCTAACGTCTAAAGAACACTCTCTCTCCCTTCTTCAAAAATCAATAATAAAAAGACAAAATCCAGGTTTCTTTATTTACATTTGCCCTCTTTGTTCTTTCGTCAATTGCGTTTTGTCTGAAACTTCTCTGGCTGTGACCTGAGAGACATGAACTTAGTCCAAATCTGATGATCTCTGAGTCATGTCTATGTCAGATTTTGTTCATGTCCATCTTGATCTAACCCCCCACACTCACTCATACACATCACCCACGTTCTGAAGTTTATACAAATTAAATTATTCCGGTGGTGTGATTGATTTGTGATATATATATATATATATATATATATATAGGTTTTAGAAAAATTAATTTAATATTTTTTTAATCGATTAGATATTTATCGGAAAGCATTTGTTTTGTAAAAAGATTTTTCGTTTTAATTTTTTTATATAGTTCATATTTATGTAATTTGATTTTAAAAAAATATATGAAATCGATTTTTTAAATATTATTTTTATATTTATTATTCGCGTATATAATTTTCTATTATTTGGTTGGGTTCCGTTTTGTAAATTTGAAACAAGGAATAACACGAAGTGGTGCGCAGACATCAAACTCGCAAATTTTTCAAAGAGGGTTAAAGAATGTAGATACGAATGCTTTGAATTGGACCAAATGTTGGAACTTGGTCCGGATTTATTATTATATTCCTCTAAAATGCGAATAAAAGATTGCGAATAGGTCCATGAAATCGCATGTGTTTAATACAATTAACGGTATATATAATGTTGTAATCAAAATGCACGAAATCTTGAATCTTCTGTAATTCATAAAACCTCCACTCAGATACAGACAACAGAGGAGCCAACCCTACCCACATGCTGCACACTAAGTTTAAGTTATAATTGTGTATTTTTGTGAAAAAAAATATTACTGTTTCGAGGTAATTTTGGAACTTTTTGAAATCATAATTTGTATAATCTCGAATTTTGCAAAGAACCCTAAAACAAAATAAGGTTATGGTCTATTTATGTGGTGGCGACAAGACAGGGCACGTGGGAGTAATGAAGGACCGTATGGGTCTTTGCATGTGGATGTAGTTTCTCCACACCCAACAATTATATGTGAGATCTTGTCTTTTTCTTTTTCATTAAACAAAAAAAATATGTATATATATATATAAGAGATTGTTCTTTGATCTTTGTTTTATATGAGAATTATTCACTAATTTATTTATATATTATCAGATCTATAATACGGCTGTTTAATAATCAATTTTCGACCGAGTAATTTTTTAATTTCCTCTACCATAACAAAATTAACTTCGGAAGTATACATCGTATAAATTTAAGATGTTTTTTTTTTTATATATTTCCTTTTGTAGGATCAGAATATAACAAGAATCAATTTCAGTGCCGACTGTCGTTTTGCTCTCTCTCCGCAAACAATTTATGTGGCTATAAGACTATTCACATGTTATCATAATTTTTTATTCGATTTATGATTGTAATATTATATATATATATATATTAAATGTATGTTTCATATGCTTTTGGCCAATCAAACAACATGTTCCATCTATATTTGATTGTATCCCCAATGTTTTTGACGAAATTGAAGCTATATATATATATATGTAAGATGATTTGAATCAATGTGTCAGTATTTGTTTAACAACCGTTGGATCAATCAAAGCTACGGTGATTGGAGCATGATGCATCTAACAACATGGAAATTGTATTTTTCTTTATTTTTTTAATCGAATTTTGCTGTATTTTGAACAAAATATAATTCTAGAATCTTGTAGACTAATTAATTGTCAATGTATGGATTAGTGGTCGGTCTCCATGTTACCGTGTCCGCAAGTCTTTGCCCATTAAATAATATTATTATCCGATGAAGGAAAATGGATAATTTGTCTTAAACATCAATTCTGGCTCCTAATTTTTTGGCAAAACCTATGTAATAACTTTTATTTTTAATCACAATTTTTCCCTATGAAATATTAAATGTAAAATGTCATTATTATTATTATTATAAAATGCAGAGTTTAAAAAATACTAAAAAATACAGATAAGTATTATGTTTTATGACAATTCATACCCATGTGTAAGTGCAATCAAGATAAGTTTTTGCTTTATAAAGAAAAGTATATTCAAGTTCAACCATTAGAAAACAATATATATATATATATATATATATATATATATATATAACCAAGGGAATGCAAAAGGAAATAAAAACGAAAAGATATATTTCCTTCTATATTCTGCCGTTACGAAAATAGAAAACTCAGATTAATCAGATAGATCCGTTGGCCAAATGTTGAAAAACTATGGACAAAATATGATCCTTTTACCTCTATGGATAACCAATCTAGAAAAAAAAATAGATTGAAAACATATAAAAATAAAAATATTTGAATCATTCAACAATTGCAAACTTAATCCACATCAAAGACATTAAAAAACATATCGTTTTAATTAAAAATAAATATTTTTGATTGAGTTATATAAATCAAAGAGAAATGAGTAAAAGATATTTAGAGAAATTAAATTTAAAATAATTATCAAACAAGCATGATTTTTCCAAATTCGAATTAAAACATCCAGCACAAAAATTACCAAATAAAATAGGAACAAAAACTTTAATTTCAATTCCAATTCCAATTCACATACACAAATCCTTTTTTTCCATTTCCCGTTATCAGTTTCCTTTTGTGTCCTCTCCTCTCTAGCCAGCTCACTAGGGAAGGTAGAAATCAATCTCTTAATCTTATATTTATATTTTCAATCTTAAATACATTGTGAGGTTAATGTTTTTTTTATAATTGTTAATTTTTTTTTAAGAAGATTATAAATAGTCCAATACGGATGCCCTTTTTGCTTACAACAATCGAAATTCACCCACAAAAAAAAAGGACAAAAGACGGGGGAAAAATGGTGAGGCCCGACGCCACCTTGCCGCTCTCCGACCCGGTTCCGTACACTCCGTTGTCCGACGGGTCGTCAGGACCCGAACCGGATCCGGCCCGGCGGAGACGAGCCATCATGGGCCCACTCGCCGTCTCCTCCGGCCTCTTCCTCGTCGCTCTCTACGTCGCTCTCATCGCCACTCACGACGGCTCATCGCCGCAAGCTGACGTCATCGGCGCCGGAAACGCGACCGTCACGCCGGATTCACGTGCGCGTGTCGCCGGAGTCTCGGAGAAGAGCACCGACCGGTTGAGATCCTTCGGCTTATGGAACGGAGCTCCGGCGACGGCGGAGTTCCCGTGGGACAATAGCATGCTGAATTGGCAGAGGACGGCCTTCCATTTTCAGCCTGAGAAGAATTGGATGAACGGTACGTATCCTTTTAACCTAAAATAAAATTTTCCAATATAAAACGTTTTTTCCTTTTCCCTTTTTTTTTCCTTTTACTTTGAAATATATTTTACGTGAAAAAGTGTCTTCCTTTTAGTATATTTTTCAAGTTCGGAGAATATTCATTCTTCCTTTTTTTTCTCTCTATAGATTTGATTGATTACAAATTGTGCAAAAGAGGGTTTTTAATTTATTGTAAAAAACAATTGTGATGTTTAATCAATTTTTTCAAGAAAAATATTAATAATCCGTTTCTAATTAATTTTATTTTATTTTGTCTTCTGCCTTTTATTCGGGGAATGTTGGATGGCGCAATTCATTTCCTTCTCCTGCAGATCCTAACGGTAAGTTCTCCATTGGATTCTTTTTTTCCCCCTAATGTTTAGAAATTCTTGGAATATGGTATTTTTTGAATTGATTATGTGTGACGTGTGTACACATGTGTATGTATTGCGTATTTTGTAAAATATATAGAGGAATTGATATGGAATTATGTAATTGAATTAACCATAGGTAGAAATGGGACAATTATATCATGTCGTTTTTGCCAGCAAATAGAAACGTCGATGGAACAAGAAAGTGTCAATCACTACCAATAATCAAATCAATTAAACCTAAAAAATATTATAAAATCTGATGAAAGTCTTCACGGCCAATTGGATCCATCTTCCGCCCATTTATATTCTTGTTTGAGATCCACATGGGAAAAGATTGCAATCATTTGACCGCCATTCAAAAGTGAATATACATATATATATATATATATATATATATATATATATGCATATATATGCAGATAAATACTTACATGTGATTTTGATTGTTCATAATTGAAGAAAAATTACGAATTTGACCCATGTTAGTGAAACAAAATCGAAGTATGAAATTGAAGAAAAGTTATGATTTTGACCCATGTTAGTGTGTGTGTGTGTGTGTAGGTCCATTGTTCTATAAGGGATGGTACCATTTCTTCTACCAATACAACCCGAATGCAGCTGTGTGGGGAGACATTGTCTGGGGCCATGCCGTCTCGAAGGACCTCATCCATTGGGTCCACCTCCCCTTAGCCATGGTCCCTGACCAATGGTACGACGCCAATGGCGTCTGGACCGGCTCGGCTACCATCCTCGACGACGGCTCCATCGTCATGCTCTACACCGGTTCTACCAACGAGTCCGTCCAGGTAATTTTATAAAAAAAAAGACCATAGGCTTAAATTGAGAAAGAAAATTCAAACCAAATTAATAGGTGTAAACTTTACAATCAGATAGCCCCATACAGATTATTAAGATAAACCATTGATTTCGACCAAAGTTCTTAGGTTGTGTTATTATTGTTCTTGTCAAATTTCTCATGTCTTTTGGTGCAAAGTGCAAAACTTTCTCATGACAAATTGTAAAAGTTGACATCTTTATATCCATAAGAATAGAGACAGTTTTCACAAAAATTTTCTCTCGTCTTTTAGTTCCATAGCGTCATTAGATTCTTGATTTTTTTTTTTCCGTTTTTGTTGTAAAAAGGTTCAAAACTTGGCCTATCCTGAGGACCCGAACGATCCCCTCCTACTGAAATGGGTGAAATATTCCGGCAACCCGGTCCTCGTCCCTCCGCCGGGGATCCACCCCAAGGACTTCCGAGATCCGACCACGGCATGGCGGACTTCCGCCGGAAAATGGCGTTTCACCATCGGCTCCAAGCTCAACCGCACCGGAATCTCCCTCCTCTACGATACGACCGACTTCAAAACCTACCAGCAGCTCCCCTCCCTCTTGCACCGAGTCCCCGGCACCGGCATGTGGGAGTGCGTTGACTTTTTCCCTGTCTCCACGACCTCCTCGGTCAACGGCCTCGACACCTCGGTCAATGGTCTCGACGTTAGACACATCGTCAAGGCTAGTCTGGACGACACGAGGAATGACCATTACGCGATCGGGACATACTACGACGAGAACGGGACATGGGTTCCGGACGATGCCGAGATCGACGTCGGGATCGGTCTGAGGTACGATTACGGGAAATTCTACGCGTCGAAGACGTTTTACGATCAGAACAAAAGTCGGAGGATCTTGTGGGGTTGGATCGGTGAGTCAGACAGCGAGGGAGCTGACATAAAGAAGGGTTGGTCCTCTCTTCAGGTACGTTCTGATCTACATTTTTACTTGCGATTCACGTTAGGGTTTTCGGTTTCAGTTGCTTCTTACCCAAGTTAGAGGTCCATAACGTAGTAACGTAGTGCTTGCACACAAAAAAATAAAAATTTGAAGCTTCTTGATTCTTTCTTGACATTTGAAATTGATAAAAAAAAAAATTGTTGCGAATTATATATGAGTGAATATATCAGAACTAGGAATGGATATTTTGAGTTTCGGTTTAAGTTCCATTCAATTATATTTGGATTCATTTATTTTATTTTAAAAAAATTATAGTCATTCAGTTTTTATATCAAATTCGGTTCAATTCAATTTTGTTCTACTTTGATTCATATTTGGTTTAGTTCAGTTTTTATATATTAAAAGCAATTTTTGTTTTTTTATTTTTCGTTTGTTTATATTTAGTTTCGGATTCAGTTTCTAGGTCTTAAAAGAACTATAATCATTCAATTTTTATATCGGATTTGATTGTGTAATAGAATATGTTATTCGAATGGTTCAGTTATTCGGTCACAAACCAAATTCTCCACCCTAGTTAGAATTATGATTAGAGGATTTATACGTTTTGTCATGGTTAATATTGATTCAGAGCATTCCAAGAACCATAGTCCTGGACACAAAGACGGGGAAGAACTTGGTCCAATGGCCGGTCCAAGAGATCGAATCTCTCAGACTAAGCATCAAGAAATTCGACATGGAGGTCGGGCCGGGAACCATAGTTCCGGTTGAAGTGGGCCCGGCGGCTCAGCTAGACATCGAGGCCGAGTTCGAGATCGAGAAGGAATCTCTCGAAAGATTCATCAGAGAAGATTCCTCTACCGACGGGGAATTCAGCTGCCAAAGCACGACAACACGTGGCGCTCTCGGGCCGTTCGGATTCTCCGTGCTCGCGGACGAGAGCTTGTCGGAGCAAACTAGGGTTTACTTCTATGTGGCTAAGGGCAAAGATTCGAAGCTCAATACTTTCTTCTGCACCGACACCTCAAGGTATCGTATAAATTGAAATCCTTCCGATTACAGTAATATTACATAATATTTAGATCCGATAGTTTTGATATTCTTCGATACATAAGTTTTAGACTATGCATCGAATGTAGGAAGCCATAAATTATATATGTGCATAGTACATATTCACGCGATATACATGTTTGAGGAAGATATATATGTATATAATATCTACGTATACATTATATGTCTTTTTTAAACCACTTGGGATCTCAATTTGTTACAATATATCAAAATATATAATTGTTTTTTTTTTTAAATTAAAACAGGTCGTCGGTGGCAAACGATGTGGACAAGCGCATATACGGAAGCTTCACACCAGTATTAGAGGGAGAGAAATTAAGCATGAGAATCCTGGTACGCATTAATCATTATTTTTTGTTTGGGTAAACAGAAATATAAATAAAAGTTTATGGTTATTATAATTTTTTAAAAATAAACGAATAAATAAATGGGCAGGTGGATCATTCGATAATAGAGGGATTCGGACAAGGAGGGAGAACGTGCATAACGTCGAGGGTGTATCCGACAAAAGCAGTTCATGGGGGAGCCAAGCTGTTCTTCTTCAACGACGCCACAGGATCCAACGTTACGGCGTCGTTTAAGGTCTGGCAAATGAACAACGCTTTCATCCGCTCCCCCCATCTCTCTCTTCCCTCCATGAAATGATCTCTCTCTCTCTCTCTCTCTCTCTCTCTCTCTCTCTCTTTTTGTTATTAGCATTTTCTCTCTTGCAAATATATCTCTCCTTCTCCTTTTCGATATGAAGAACATTGTTGATCGAAATTCTTTTTGTTGGTCGAAATTTTGTTATCTTTTCATTTTTGTTTAGACAAAGAGGCGCTCTCACCAATATTGGGATTTAAATAAAGACCATTAATTTGGACCAACGGAACACATTATTTGATAATTATTTCAAATATTTTGTATTTTTTTTTCTTTTTAAAGATAGCTTTCACAGCATAATTTGATTCTTTTTTGCGCTAAAGTTCTAAATAAAAAAAAACAAACGGGGAAAAAAAAAAGTCGTATTGGTGGGCTGAAGTCCATGAATGGGCCCAAAATATCAAATTCACTTTTATTGGGCCGACCAAATTATAAGCTTAATCAGTTATGGGTTTCAGAATTGTATTTTGCTTTTGAGGTCTACGCGCGTGTGATGCTTGATTGGTTTTTTTATTTATAATTTAATGTTTTTTTTTTTGGTTTTAGGGTTGAACAGTTAATGATAGCAATGTTTTGAATTGACTGAATAGATGGAATACGAATACGATAGAATTAGATGTAATCCATCGAAAAGTGTATATTATTTCAAAAATATTTGCCATCATTTTAAATCAATTTAAACTGATTACAAAATACATTTTGGAATTTACCGACCAGAAATTGAATAATTTAGCCAAATGATAAAAAAAAATTAGAATCTTAGAACACCATGCATACACAATCATAAGTTGTTTTAGACTTTGGGAAATATTGAAATTCGAGAGGGACGATTGATTGACGAGCCTAATTAAAAACCCTAAGGTTAAACGACAAAAACAAATATAAAAAAAACCCTAGAGAGAGAGAGAGAAGAGAGAGAATGATAAAAGGTTCGATACTTTACATTCTGGATATATGTCTGTGAGAGACTGGTATATCGAACAGTCAAATCAATCAAATTTCTGATTCTTTTCTACCTGTATTGGCTTTTTATTAATAGATGTATATACGCAAAATTAAATATTATATATATATATGCACATACATACATACATTAATACATATGTGTGATTTGATCGTGCTATAGTGACATCTAGGGCCTGTCTGTCTAATATTATCAACTTATGGCATATACGGTTATATATTTAGAATCCATCATGCATGCATACATACATATATATATATATATATATATATATATATATCCACACGATTGTTCTTGTAGTGTATATAATCAAGCTTCTACTATAAATGAGTGTCACAAATAAATTTTGTTATGAGGATGTATACAGATAAAATTCCCCAGAAATATGCTGAAAATTGTTAGTATAGATTAGAAATTAGATGAAAAAAATTGTCTAAGAGGGAAAGGTTATAAAATTTTAAAGCCCTATTCATTCACAAACCAACATGAATAACATATATTCACAATAACTAAAGCTTTACACTTAATGGAATACAAGTCAACGTGATTCGAATTCTAATGCATAAATGTGCATAACTCTTCTTAGGAGCAACGATTTTATTAGCATGGTATAAGATTAATATTCGCTAGCTATATGTAAGATTTGATAATCCGATCGTAACTTTGGCCCAATTAAATATTTTAAAATATTAAAAAATATATGTGAATATCTTTTCCCAAATAAATATTCGAATCTGGGTCAAAAAGTAATTTTAGCTCCACGGCAAACCAATTGAACCACCCAATATTTGATAATTTATTTACGTAGTTGATTATGAAGTACGTGTAATCAAAGTGAATAAGAATAAGGGACCCAGCGACGCTAAAGCAATGTAAATCGCATTCAAAGTGCTATGTGTAGTCAGTATATTCGTATAATACGAACGTTTGAATGATTATTAGGTGCACAATCAATCTATACGTATGTTTATATATATACGTGTGTGTGTATAGATCTGCGATTGTGACCTTTTAGTGTGAGGCAAATTGACCGAGGGTTGCAAGGGGAGACTTGGGGGTTTGGAAATTGAGGAAAAATATAAAAGAAAGAAAAAGATAAGAAACGAACTCAGAAGAAAACAAAGCATGAATTTCGAGGAAATAAATATAATATATTGAAAAGGTTTCGATTCATCCACCGAAATAGAGAGAAAAAATGCGGTTCGATCCAGACCACATGAAAAAAATAAAAATCAGAAATGAATAAATTAAATGTTTAAAAAAAAATATAGTGAGGTGGAGGAGGACAGAGTGATAAACAAGTGAAAACAACTGATGAGAGAGAGAGAGAGAGAGTGAAAGCTGTATGAGCCTCCATGCAAACGTCCCTTTCTCTGTTTCCTCTCTCTCTCTCTCTCTCTATCGGCTTTGGGAATCCCAACCACAAGTTCCCTCTTGTCTTCACATTACAACTACTTGTGTTTCACACTGTTTTGTTTGAGAAATCGCATGCCATTCATATCTGGTTTTGTCCATGGATGCACATATTTATATTCATTCATGTTCTTTGAATTAAGAAAGATACTGTATTATATGTACATTAACACACTCATTCGCTGATTTAGATTATAATTTCCATCTCTAAGTTTGTCTTGATGTTAACCTAGCTGTTACTTCACATTCTCGTTTTTTTGAAGTTAGATTTTTTTAGGGTTTAAGATATAATCTCAATAATAAAATATGTATGTATGTATGTACGTACGTACGTAACAATTGGTTACAAAATCGGAAGTTCCCAAATCATTGAATCATGTGATCACTTTGTTGGTTTTCATCATTTAAGTTGAACATTTCTCCAACCGAGGTTAAAATTCGATTTACCTCTTGTATCGCAACCTCACGAGGGTTACAAATAAGGGCCATAAGCACATTTGAGAGTAATGGTTTTAAATATAATTCCTCGAACCAACCAACCCAAATCTTCTCTCTCTCTCTCTAGAACGAAGAGGGTTTTTTTCTCCTCTCTCTCTTTTTCAGGCAAGATTTGCACATATATCATCTCAAGATTCTGCTTTTAGTTTAATATACCTATACATATAACCCTATTTATCCATCAAATCTGTCAAATCAATTGTATCAAAGTTCAAAGAGAAGGAGCCAATCATCAAAATCCATTACTTAAAGAAGCTAATTCCGAGGATGTCTTCATCTTCCTCTTCTTCCTCTTCCTCTGACCAACCTCTCCATGAACATCTCTGCTATGTTCATTGCAACATCTGCGACACTGTTCTCGCTGTAAGCCTGCTTTTACTATTGCATACACGTATACTGTCATACATATATACATATAGCAGCATATATATATATATATATCGATGGCGTTCGTTTTATGAGAATCTTGATCTACAAGAGATAGACACGACAAGATAACATATGCACATGAATATGCGTATGTTCTTGGTTATGATATCGATCTTTTCGGAGACCAAAATTCTTCAGCCGACAACGATCTATGAATATCCGTTGGTAGTAAAATTCATACAGTTAAGTCGAATATACATATCTATACAGTTAATAGAATGTTCGTATCTGATTTTGGAGAAAATTCGTATCATTTGATTAAAAAAAAAAAGGAAGTTCGTACTCGCAAAATCGTCTTCGACTTTACTTTCTTTTCCCTAACCCTAGGGTTTCCTTCACTGATTTCTACCGTCCTCCACTAGTTTGTGTTTTTTTGTATCCTTTTCGATCGGGGTTGATGTATACATACGAAAATACGTTCAGACATGATGCGTATATATGTACACAAACGCAGGTGAGTGTTCCTAGCACAAGCTTGTCCAAGACCGTAACGGTTCGATGTGGCCACTGCACCACTCTTTTGCCGGTCCACATGCCTTTGCTCTTCCCATCACTCGGTCAATTCCACAGCTTTGTTCATAACCAAAATCCCACGGTACTCCAAATTAGAACCCTGAATTTTCTATAATCTCATATATATACATAAAGTATCTTATATTGGTTATATGTATATATATTATCTGCGGTATAGGGCGAGATCCAGAACCCGAGCACGAACCATACGATTAATGAATCGAGTGGAAACCACTTGTTCGCCACTTCACCTCCATGTCCTCGCGGAATGACTAAGGAGCTTCCACGGTCTCATCAAGTTATCAAGAGACGTAAGTAGTTACTATAATCAATCATCATGATCTTGTCATATATGCTCATATATACGTATATGCATGCGCGCACACACACACACACATAAATATATATTCATAACATTTATAGAAACTAAACTCAAACCCACCCGTTGATTGCTACATTTTATAGTTTTATATGAATGATAAGCACTTCTCTATAACGGGTTGATCACTATAATTTGGTCGCCACATATGATCGACTATCATCTTGTATTTTATATATAAAGTCACGTATTTCACTCTCTGATGCTTGTATGACGTTCTATTGCAATCCTCCATTGGCAATGCCAACTACATCCTCAAACATCACATGTGCATGATGCTTTCTTTGAAAAAAATATGAATTTTTACATTCGTCTTTGAGTACATCAAGATAAAATACGACAATAGTTGCGTAAATATCAAATTGCATAAGAAAACCATTTGCCCAAAAAAAAAATAAATCAAATCGCATAATATTTAAGAAAATAGCTATTAATGCGATCTTTTTCTTTTCTTTAGAGAAGTCATTCCAGTGAGTTGAAATTAATGTTGTACACTCACGGATATGCATAGGAAAGTCTCTTTGTGCGCGTGTGTATATATATATGTATGTATGTATATATATATGGATAGATGGTCAAATCACTGAAAAGGGTTGAAATAATTACAAAATGATGGTGATGAGGACACAGTATGGCTTTTACTGTCTTTTTTTTTTATATAAACTTTTTGTAATTAAAGTGTGAATTTATCCGAATTTTCATAAATTCTCTTCCTTTTTCTCTTTTGATTTTCTACAGCTCAGGCGAAGAGACAAAGAGTCCCCTCGGCTTACAACCGTTTCATCAAGTAAATTATCATCTGTCATTTATATTATAGGCCTATATATATATATATATATATATATATCTTTCACTTCATAGAAGATGCTGTGTGTATATATGACACATGCATATATGTGCAGGGCACTGACAATGCTCCATATATAGTCATTTATAAATTGTTTATGTGTGTATATATATATATCTTCATACATGAATGTGTAGATACATACGTAATTACAGGGAAGAGATCCAACGGATAAAGGCAGAGAATCCCAATATCACGCACAGGGAAGCCTTCAGTGCTGCTGCAAAAAACGTAATATTTTAATTTTTCTTAGTTATTATATATATATATATTGTCATAAATTTAATTAAATTGTCTTCTACGAAAAGGGAAAAGAAAACATTTACAGTTTACTCGTATGAACTGCGTATTGTGATTGTCAGTGGGCCCACTTCCCACATATTCAGTTTGGTCTTGCGCCTGATCAGTTAGCTCGACGATCTAGCATACGCCACCAGGTGAATTTACATTTTTCTCCCTCGTTATGTTTTTTTTTTCTAAGTTAAATATTTTAAAAGAGGCTTTCTATGCTAAATATTTGACAATAATTCATGTGAAAAGCTTTGAAATTATTATAGAGTAAATACATAACTGCCTATACTTTTATTCAATTCATATGATGATGATGATGATGATGATGATGATGGGTTCTTTTAATTGTAGGAAGGAGAGGATCCAGTGATGAAGGATGTGTTATTGGCATCGGCCAATGTTGGAATGGCTCCTGCTATCAATTACTCCATTACTTACAATTAGCATTAATTAGTAACTCTAGACACTTATGTAAAATGGTCAAGAACTAAAACATATGTTTAATTATTGGTATAGTCAGCCATGTTTGAACCTTTTGATTTAGATCCCAAATTTCCTATCAAATGCGCCTTTTGTACGTCTGTATGATTCTACTTATTCGTTGCTAAATGTATAATTTTGTTTGTTCATGTATTTTACACACACACATACACGCATATATATATATATATATTATAGTTTAGATGAAAGGGAGATGAATTAAAGGTTGGTTTAATAAGATGGTTACTATAACTTAGGAAAAAAAATACCCAACAACTTGTGGACGAGTGGTCAGCAACTGGGTGCAAAACATTTAGAGATTGGCGGTTCGATTCCTGGTTGAGGAGGAGTTTTCACATAGGCTGACCCAGTCATCTGGGAGATGTAATTATCAAAAAAAAAGAACTTAGGAAAAAATGTTTCAAAAAAAGAATAATTTATCATGAAAGCCATCGAATTCATGAATTAGAAGAAGAGAGAATGAATTATAAAAAACAATTATATAAGTTAAAAATATTATTTAAAATTTGAAACTCAAAGAATATTCAAGTATTGTTTTGATTTTTTTAATACATTAACAATTTTTGTCAATTTTAAAAAATGCAAGGAAAAAAAAGGAAAAGTCTCAAACCTTAATGGGCCGATCAGTCTTGAAACAATAATAATGGGCTTTAAAAAGCCTGTGATGAGTAATACTCTGTTCGATTTAGAAGGTCTGAATTTTTGTTTTTAAAAAACAAATTATTTTCTTCTCGCGGATTTATCAGTTTTTGCTGTCTTCGTCTTCCTCAAGAAGAGTGATGTGTTCTATGCAGCAGTGTTCCTTCAAAGGTTCTTCATCTCTACTTCGGACGAATACCTTCAGAACCGAAAAATACATCTTTGCCCCTTTCGTTCTTCGGATATCTTCGTCTAGAACCCGTAAATATCCCTCAATTCCAAGGGCAGTTTGTTCAGTTGATGAAATCCCCCCTAATGCCCTTCGCCGGAGAACCGACCGGAACTGGAGAGGGGGGTTCAGTCTCGGAGTAGATTTGGGATTGTCTCGCACCGGCGTCGCGCTTAGCAAAGGCTTCTCTGTTCGACCGCTCACGGTTCTTTCAAATTTCCCCATTTCTTCGATTATAGTGTCCCAAATCCCGATTCAATTTTAGGGCAGTAAGATAATTGGGGTTGTTTGTTGTGATGGGTTTTGTTAGGTTTTGTCATTGAGAGGGCAAAAGCTCGAGCTGAGGCTCCTGGAAATAGCTGAAATGGAGGTTGATAGATTCGAATTTCGATTGAATCTCAGATTTCCCTGGTAAAAATCTGAACTGTTTGTGAGTTGATTGATGGGTTTTTCAGGAGGTCGATGAGTTCATAATTGGGTTGCCGAAATCTTCCGATGGGAAAGAGACAGTTCAGTCGAACAAAGTTCGGTCTGTCGCCGGACGGCTTGCCGTTCGAGCCGCCGAGAGGTAGATGAAGTAAACATATGCAGATACACACATATACATACGCATTTACATGTGAGAATACTGATGTTTCATCATGTTGGTTGGTGTGATTATTGGTATGAATTCTTGAGTTTTTGGGCACAAAATCTTCAGGGGTTGGAGGGTTTATGTGTTGGATGAACATGGGACATCATCAGAAGCTTCAGACAGAATGATCGTTATGTTAGTTCCCACTCTCAATCTCGAGTTCCTCTCTTCAAAGTTCAAACCCATGTTCTATTCTATCGCCTTCAAGATCCAATATTGACAATGCACTCTAGAAAACTGCGGTTTTTTACTGAATTCATGATCCCAAGTTACGAATCCTTATCAACAATCCTTGTACTGTGTTGCTCCTTGAACATTGCTGGTAGAGAAGGAGACTTACCATGTGAATGATATGAAATCAATATTTTGTTTTTTCTCTTCCAGGGGACTCAGCAAGAACGAGCGGAAGCAAAGAACAGACGCATATGCTGCGGTGGTAAGTGACAGAAAAACTTCAGTTCCTTGTGTTGGTTAGTAGAGAGAGATTACCACCATAGATGCAGTTTTACAAATCCTAAGGTTTGTGATCGAAAATCGGAATGTTACAGATATTACTGGAGAGGTATTTCTCTACTCGAGGTGTAGGAGCCGAAATCATACTGCCCAAATGTCAGCAGCTTCAAGAGAAGATCAAGAAGGGTTCTCCTCTGGATCCGGACTTTTCCCCGGGAAAATCCGAGGAGCATTTCACCTTCTGAATTAGGTTCGAATCAACGAAAAAAACTGCCTTTTTATACGGTCGATGTCAATCTGATGAAGAGCACATATTTCATCTTCAAACAGAGATGAGAGCACTAAACAGAAGTTGTTCCATTTCTGATTGTATAGTTTAGATTTGGTAGCATTTAGTTTAAAGCCAAAGCAAACATTCTGAGTTCCTCTGTTATGTGACAGAACTTCTGTCATAAGCTGAACAAAGATGCAAAGAAGACTGGGAAACTGAATGACACACGTGTGCACTCCTCGATATCTCTCGCACGTGCGAGTTCCAAGTCTCTTTTCTATGGTTAATTCCACTCTTGCAATGGCTTTCTCTTCTCTGTCCTCTAGGCTCTACCCATGAAATCCCTCAATCTTCCAAAATAACGTCATTTTGGTTGTGTATATAAATATTCATTTTGAAGGCACTTTGTATCAATGAAGAGTTACATTTTGTATGAATGTGTTATCTCGTATGTGTACTAATGTCCATTGGCAGTCCATATTAATGTTGAATATAATGGTGTTGAGGAATTAGTTGGTTCAAAGATCTAATTTGATTTTATGTTATAGATATTAATTTGTTGGATTTATATATTTATTGTATGCTTGTCACATGAGAATAGATCAGCTTTTGGACTATATAGACCAATGATATGACCACGTTGCTTGGCATTTACCTTGATTTTCCTTTTTTAATGTTGAGAAGAAAAAAAGAAAAAAATACAAAATTAAACGATATAAAGAATAAAAAGAAATTGAAAAAGGGGTATAATGATTAATTTTGTCTCCTCTAAGACAAAAACCGCAAAGCATGTTTAAGTTAACCAGTAAATGTCTCTTCTTAGGTTGTCACTCTTCTAATAAAATTCAATGCCCACATTGATCACTTTGTCGCATCAATTATGAGAAAATAACGAATCAAGTATATTTTTAGTAAAGTTTTACATATTTCCAATCAGAATAACACAAAATGATAATTATATCTTTTAAAAAAATATTAAATAAAGATAATAAAATGTTGGATAAATGTCGAGATCTTGGGATTTGCGGCCTAAAGACGAAACACACACAAATGATGACGCCTCACATGTTCCCGTTCTGTCTCATAATTTTATTTGTATAATATATAATATATATATATATATATATATATTATGTCCAATTTTTTTTTGTTAAAATATTATGTCCAATATTGAATGCATCGGTTCTCATAAAATAATTATGCAAGCTTGGATATGTAAAGTTTTCAGAGCTTAAAAGTATTATTAGGAATAAAGCTTGGAATAGTTAAATTAAATTCCTATACTTTTAAGATTGTGGAAATGAAAATCGATTTCTCCAATATTGATTACTTCATTTGGACCGTTGTGAACGAGAGATGGATAATGGATTATGTGAATTGTCAACCCCTGTGATGGGTTTTGTTAGGTTTTGTCATTGAGAGGGCAAAAGCTCGAGCTGAGGCTCCTGGAAATAGCTGAAATGGAGGTTGATAGATTCGAATTTCGATTGAATCTCAGATTTCCCTGGTAAAAATCTGAACTGTTTGTGAGTTGATTGATGGGTTTTTCAGGAGGTCGATGAGTTCATAATTGGGTTGCCGAAATCTTCCGATGGGAAAGAGACAGTTCAGTCGAACAAAGTTCGGTCTGTCGCCGGACGGCTTGCCGTTCGAGGCGCCGAGAGGTAGATGAAGTAAACATATGCAGATACACACATATACATACGCATTTACATGTGAGAATACTGATGTTTCATCATGTTGGTTGGTGTGATTATTGGTATGAATTCTTGAGTTTTTGGGCACAAAATCTTCAGGGGTTGGAGGGTTTATGTGTTGGATGAACATGGGACATCATCAGAAGCTTCAGACAGAATGATCGTTATGTTAGTTCCCACTCTCAATCTCGAGTTCCTCTCTTCAAAGTTCAAACCCATGTTCTATTCTATCGCCTTCAAGATCCAATATTGACAATGCACTCTAGAAAACTGCGGTTTTTTACTGAATTCATGATCCCAAGTCCCCCCCCCCCCCCCCCAAAGCACGCCCAATCATGATGTTCCATCACCAAATTAGATATGAACGAGAGAAATTCCATTAATTTGATACTGAATTTTAGAATAATTCCTTTTTTATGTAGAAAATTTTTATATTTTTAAAATAAATTAGGTTTTCTTATAATCGTCTTGGTCATTCACAATTAATGAAAATAAAATATCTGAATATTCGTGTGATCGGAATAAAAAAATTATACATTCTTTTAATGTTTTGCTAAATTCAATTTAGAAAAAATTTCGAAATTAGTTTGGACATTGTTTTTCGATTATTTTGCTAAATTTTGACTTCCTTTAGAGATGTCACGAGCCACGAGGGGGCACGTTATAAAAGAGCCACAAATACGAAGCAAAGGTAAATTTTGTAACTTTTTTTTTTCATGCCTTGCTTGAATCAAACATTATAATTATAAAAAGATTCTTCATGACAAAGCATGCTTTGTCTTTACTAACTCCTTTGTCTATAAATCTGAATCAGAATGCCATATCCGAATTTTCCAATGCTTTTAATTCATTCCCTTCGAATCCCATCTCCTTTTATATTTCTGTGGGTTTCATTCGGATTCTTCAAGCTATAGATTTGAAGGTAAAACCAATGTTTATCTTTCAATCTTTATAGATCCAATGTTTTTATAAGTTACGTAAAATGCATGCTTCGGTCCCTTTTTCCCTTTTTTTTTTGTTTTTATTTTCTTGGAGTTATTTGAATGTTTGTTTGAAAAAAAAATATCATCTTCAAGATTGGGAATAAACCCATCTAATTCTTGTTGTTTGAAGTTCTTGAATTTGGTTCTGTAATTTAATTACAATACTGATTAATGTCCTACATGTCCATTACGTGAGTGTGTGTGTGTATATATATATATGTGTGTGTGTATTGATGATAGAGTATATATATGTATATATCTACGTATATTTTCTAAAACATAAAAAAAAAATATTCTGGGACCGCTATATATGCTTCAAACAAGAATGCATTGAATATTATTCAGAACAATTAGGGTATACGTTCACAATGTCCATTTGTATTATCTATCACACTCGAAGTTTCCATTTTGGGAAAAAAATTTCTGCATGTTAATAATTTCATAAACCAAATCCAAATACACTTAAGACACTGCTTGAAATGCAGAAAAGATTAATTCAGCTTATGGTCGATTAATGAAAATTGATTTGACACAAAAATAGAAATTTTCGGAGTGTACATTAATGCATGTTTTTGGAAAACACAAATAAAATTTAAGTTCATTTATGAGGAAAAATAGTTTTTATTTCTCTAACATTCTAATTTTTCTCCTTCGTTTCTTGAGTTATCTTCAACATCCAGTTTTCTTTGTTTGCTCCAAATTAATATAAGGAAAAGAAAAAAAAAGGACGTAAACGTTTCCGCTCGCAAGAACTCAAGTCAAAGTCAGATCTGTGCTCTTTTGATTATAGTGAATACAAAGGATATACGTACAGTCGTACGTATATATATATTATATATAACATAATGTTCGATAATATAATAAAAATCATACCAAAGGAAATACCATAGTTTTGGTTTTATTATATACAGAAACCTCCAGAATCCGGTAGATACTCCAAGCTTTTTCCCCTTTTCATCCTTACAATCATAATCTGTACCAACATGATCTACACATCATCAGTGTGCATTTGTGTCTGTGTATATATATAATATATATATATATATATATATGCATGTATACGTACGATATATCTTCTGGGTTTTGCATCTTTTAATCTCTTTGGTCACTTCCACAGATCGATTTGGCAGCTCGAAGAAGTTGAAGCGTCATATTCTTGCCCCAACTCGGAAACCCTCTTTGTTTCGCTCTCCAACAAGTTCATTTCCTCGTCATTGTTCTGTCCAGAAGCAGAAGCCTCGTCGTTACTTAGCTGAGAAGCAACGAATTTATCGAGCACTCTCCAGTCAGTCACCTGATCCACGGCTTGATCGTTTCCGCTATTCACATACAGAGAGCTGAAACTTGGTTGCCCTTGATTCATTTGTTCCTCATTCCCGAGATTCGATGACTGTAAGTTTGCGTTATGATTATTGCCGCTGCTTGTCCCGTAAGGAAGAGAGTTGCAATTACTGTTAGCTTGTTGGATTTTAGGGCTCTCGAGCTGAGGGAGTTGGAGGAACAAAGGTTCATTAAGTTGAAGAAGATGATGATGATGGTGTTGTGCCAGATGATTGAAGTGTTGTAGCTCGAGTTCTTGCTTGCGTTGCAAGTTAGGGTTGTGGATGGGGTAAGCAGCGGCATTGAGACCATATGGTTGATGATGATGACCCATGAGGATTCGCCTTGGAGAACTGGTTTCGAGTTCAGAGGACACGAAGGAGAGATGATCGTCGTTATACCAATGCGACGGTGATGTCTCGTATTCTCCCATTTTCCTCACCGCCGCCAATCTCTTCTTGAAAACCCTACATACTGCCCATCCTTCTTCCTGTCAAAGATCACAGAATCATTTTCAAATTAATCACCTTTGAGATGCATATGTATATCTACATTCATATGGTAATGAACCGACTATATAGTCGACATACCCCAAAGACAAGCAATAATAACACTTATTTATGTTCATAAATGCCTTCAAAGAAATGGAGAGCGCCCTTCTTGTACACACATATATGATGTTTGGGTACACGGATATGTGTTTGTGTATCTATATATGGGATTTGTATTATGGTACGTGAAATGTTTCCATCCAATCTATGCAAGAATATTAGGATTTAGGAGAAGAAAGGTTAGGTTCGGATCGGATGGATATATACCTGATGAGGGGTTCCGTTTTCGTTGGTTTCAAGCCGGTATTCATGCATGATCCAATCGGATTTCTGTCCATTGGGGGCTCTTCCTTTGTAGAACACAAGGGTTTTCCTCATACCAACAAGACAATGCCTTGAGTATATCGCCTTGTCTCTTCCCGTGGCTTTCCAAAAACCGGCTTTTGTTGCTCTGTTAGTTCGGGTTCCTGTCGGATACTTCTTGTCTTTATGGCTAAAGAAATACCATTCGTTCTGATCTTCATTCCCAATTCTGCACAAGTCTATTTCAGAAGAAGAAGAAAAAACATTCTTGAGCTAGCTTTCCAAGTTAAGAAATATGAAGAGAAAAATATCGACTTAGAACGAGGGAGATGGATCAAATTATCGGGGGCGAACCATTAAGATCCCAAGGCTCGATCTTGTAAAGATCGACGTCTTTGATGAAATCGATTTCGATTCTCTTTGAAGCGATTTTTTTCCTCAAGTAGTAGTCCACGAGTTCTTCGTCCGTGGGATGAAATCTGAAGCCCGGAGGCACGTTGGAAAATGAATTCATTGTTGTTATTTTCTTGGGCAAACCTGCTTATAGTAAGAGGGACCAAACAAAATAAGAATCAAGATTGCTATATATACTGTCTTGTACAGATTATATAATAGCGCATTAAAGGTATTGTTTCGTATGAATTTAGTCTATATAATCATGTGCACGGTGCAATTAGTACATCGACAAGAATATTGCATCATCACATAGCATTTATGGGTTGGTGATAATATTTGGATCGACAGTCGTAAACTCATTAGAAGGTAAAGGCTACATATATGAGACAGTTTGATGAACATGTAACATCGATCTTGATCTATATATTATGGAAAATCATCGATCTCCACGCTCATTCCATGGACCGACTATCAAGAAAATCAACTTCTCTTGTAGAGGATAATCCAGACTTTAGGGATACAAAAGGGCAAAATGAAGAGATCACATATACATAATAAATACGGCAAAATCGCCTTCTCTATACCGATCTAACACATGATCATCTTTCCTTGTTGAGAATTTTATTGGTACAAATAAAACTTGACTCGATCTGTACTTGTCTTATTTGCTTAGCTTGTAATGTAATCAACATCAATTATATGATGATGATCATAATGGTGATGAACAATGATGTGTATCCACAAGCAACAAATCTAAAAAAGAGAGAGAAAATAAAAGATGGGTGGGAAAAAATTCTGGAGAAACATCCAAAAAATAAAACAAAAGAGAAAAGAGAAGATCGGAGATACAGCATGACCTTTATCCTTTAAAGCTTTAACGTATTTTTATCAACAAAACAAAAATTAGGGTTTTACCTTATGAAACGAGAAGCCAGCTTCTTCTTCAGGCGCATCCAGATGGATGAAACCCTTAAAAAAAAGCTTTGATTATGGAGTGTTGGAGACAATAACAACAAAGCTCGTGTTTGGTTTTCTTCGCATCTTCTTCCCGGCTTTGTACAATGAAACAATTGATGCGATTAGCTTACAGAGAGAAATAAGAAGCAGCCCTAAAAAGGAGAAGGAGTTGTGACTAGAAATCGAAAAGATTGACAGTGTCCCTCGGGAATCGATAGAGATCGGATCCCGAGAGAGAGAGAGATGATAGAAGAATGGGAAAGAGAAAGAGAGGCCGGTTAAATAAAGGAGAGGAAGAACGAAGAAAATGAAAGAAGCAAGACACAAACAAAAGTATACAACCGTGTCCCAATAATCTTATATTACTTTGTGTCTCTTCTCTCTCAATTATGATATCTCTCCCTAGAGAGAGAGAGAGAGAGAGAGAGAGAGAGAGAGAGAGAGAGAGAGAGAGAGAGAGACTTTATTTGCTGCAAAAGCTTGGGGAGAGAAAAAAGGAGGCTGATAAGATGGTTCAAGTAAGATTTAGAGAGAGAGAGAGAGATTAACACCCACCAGCTACTGATAGTGACCTTGTGAACTTATAAGTCGATGCCTTAATTCACATAAAGGTTATTTTCATACACGTTTCGCTAAGATTTTATTACCGTCTTTACCAAAAAAAAAGAAGATTTTATTACCGCATTAAACTGTACGGATAATATAACAATTTACTTGGTTGTACCAAACAAAACAACAAAAAACCTCAGTAGAAACTAATAACGGTAGTGAGAAGCATATATATATATGTGTGTGTGCCCGTTAGTGGTTTATAATTTCCGACGGTTTTCATATCGTACTGTTTGTGGATTGGAAATATATGAATAGAAACCAAAATGAAAAGAAAGAGAGAGAACTAATGGTTAAATTAATGATATTATGGGTCTTAATTATCAAATATGATTTTTCAATTACAAAAAAAGGTGAGAAAGATATCGAAGAAGATATTTAATACTTTTTTATTTTTGGAATTCAAACAAAAGGGATTCTGAATACTTCATAAGTACAAGATATTTATTGTTATATACATATTTATTTGTATTCACATCATCATTTCATGAGAAAATAATGTTAAAGTAGTGCTTGTCTTCTCGAAGAATTAATAACCTGTAAAATGCAATCAACTCAATCTATACAGACATATACATAATGTGTATATATATGTATAGGTCCATGATATTTTGGAATGTAATTATAATATTCCAAAATGAATATATATATATATATATATATATGTATGTATGTAAGTCCAGTGTGTACCTTGCACCTCAGCCATTGGTCACTCCAAAAATTACCTTTCACATATAATCCTTTCTCTTTTAATACAGTTTATACCTCATTGGTTAACATCTTTTGACATATGTACAGATTTCAGCATTGGATGTCACTGAAATTAGTGAAATTTATTAATGTACTATATATATATATATATATATATATATATATGTGTGTGTGTGTGTGTGTGTGTGTTGTGGTTGCAAGTCAATTTGCAGATGGTATGTTAAAAAATCATATAGGGATTTTAGGTAAAAACCCATAGATGTGACATTGAAACACCAATGCTTCGAAAATGTTATGTCTTCAAATCAATATCACTTCTTGATATACAATTTGATCGTAATTTTGACTAACAAAGTTTCTAACTAAACATAATAAAGTGTACTATATATATATATATATATCATAACATAAAGTTTCAAATTTAATTTGTTTTTTCTAAGCAGATTTCATCTAAAGTTTAGCAGCTACTTAATAAGTTGTACTCCACAACTGTACTAAGGATGGCTCGACCAGGAAACTAGACTTCAATTCCCAACAAATTCCGATATATATTTTAATTAGGATGTCTCCGTAATTTAAAAAAAAAAAGGCTTTCCATAGATTTATAAATGTATTTTTGAAAATTTACAGAGAAAATGTGGAATTTTTAAATTAAAAGAAATGCCCTATAAGGTTTGATGGCATTTGGTGCAATAGAATAACTATTCAAAGTCTCCAACTCCATACGCACGCGATCTCCCGTTGGTTGGCCTCCTATTTTTTTTTTTTAAATTTATAAGTTTTCTATTATTACTTTTGTGCCATTATATATATATATATAGTCAGTATAAACTTATGGATAATACATCTATTAGGGAACATCAGTAGTCGGGAACGATATTGGAGAGGCTCCGCGTCGTTCATTTTTTTATATTGATTAATTTCGTAAAAAAAAATACATTGATATATAGGAATACAATTGGCATTTTATAAAACTTTACCTATGAATTTTTTCATACAAACTTAAATATTATGCAATGCGATTGACAAAACTAAAAAGGGTAAAAGATTTATTTTTGAACTTTTGTTTCACATAAAAGTCACGTAAATTACATTCTTTTCCAGTTAAAAATTATATGGGAAACATATGTATCTTCATGGAAAATGAGGTTCTTCGACTAGGGACAATTATATATATATCAAGCTAACATCAAACGAAAAAAAATGAAAAAAAAAACAAATGATACGTTTTTATTAATTTATATTAAAATTTTAAAATGTGAAAATGGTAACAGAGAAAAAACGAAAAAAGTGTAAGGAAAATATTTTTAACAATGAAAAAGAAAGAATGTGTTATAAGAGAAGGGATAAGTCAATATTTCGTACATCAATATAGATATAGAAAATTAATATAATCGAACAATTTCTACATTATTGGCAGATAATTTACTTCGTTTATTAGTCATTCTTTAAGATTTCATACTCGAACAATTATTATGTATATATACAACGATTTATGGTCGGGTGTTGACGCCTCTCCAAATACACCATTTGTTTAATTTATTAAAAATAAATTAAAAAAAAAGTTTAAAAGCCGTTTAACACTAGCCGTTTAAGCGAGCCGTATAAGCCGATGAAATCAGATAGAAAACAATAAATTAAATTTAAAAACAGCGTGGAGTTTGAGCCTGTGTAAGTGGAGAGTGGGACCCATGCGAAAAAACGGAATGATGTGCTGACGTGGCGGCCGATGGTCCGGCGTGAGCTAGCCCTCGATCATTAATCTCACGATTCGCTGTTGCAGAGCGCTTGGCACGTGGGTCCCAGCCGTTATCCCGTTTCATGTTTTTATTTTACTTGATATAACCCTAAATAAATAAATAACGTTATTTATTCGGCTATATACAATACATTATCATGTGAAAAAAATACATCATCATAATTGCACCATACGAATTCTTTTACCTTTTAAGAAAAATATAAGTTGAATTTATTCATTTGTGTCCATTATTTTAAATAATCTATTTATTTTATAATAATATAAATCCATATTCATGATTAAAGAAACAAGAGAGTTTTGTTAGTTTCTAACCAACTCTCTACAGAATTTATTTATTTTTTGAATTAATATAATGTTACATTTCTGTTGTAATTTTGATTTATTATTATTATTATTAATTTCTAATAAAAATACTTAATAGGATAATCATTACAGAATATAGATTTATAAATATTATATTTTAAATATTTTTTCGATTATTTCCAACGCCAGAACTACCACATTGTATTAAAAAAAAGTTGATAATTTATGTATCAAAAGCTATATGTTTCCCCCCAATATATGATAGGTATAAGTTACATTTATATTATAATTGGTTAGATTTAGGTAAGTTCGCTAAAATTCGGATGGCCCTACGGCTGAGGTTCGGAACTTGGGAGTGAAGGTTGGGCGTTTATAAATTAATAAATAGTGGAAAACTTTTTTAAAATATTATTAAAAAAAGCAAATTGAGGATATTATTTTTTTTGCTTTTGTGTGTTGTTGAAACGAAGTATAGAAGTGAAGCAAAAGGAACAACCTTGATCCAAAAGTGTCGATTTTGGTCCCACCTTGCCTCTTGTCATTTACCTATTTGATTTCGAAATTAAATTATTATAATTAGTCATAGAGAATAACATATATGTGTGTGTGTGTGTGTTTCCATCCATTTGTATATACGTAGACCCACCTATCTATTTATTTCAATGATATGGAATGTTTATTTAGTTTCACATTATATGTATACTTGTATAGTGCAAGAAAATTACAACTTTCAAATGTATTTCCGGTAATATAAATAAACATAAATATATTTATATTAGATCAATCTAATCACATTTTCTTTTTCTTGTGTCAAAAAGGTTACAAATTAATAATTTCTGATGAGGTCATCTTGGCTACCTACCATATATGGAATGTTTAAGACATGAAAATACAATATGATGTGAATTTTCCCTATTTCTCCTATTGAAACCCTAAACTAACATCATAATTATAAAAAATACTATATATAACCTTATATATTATAATTTCTCCAATTCGAAGATATATGAAAAAATATTTTTTGTTGTTGAAATATATGTAACAAATGTTCCATTCCAAAACTAATAAGCTAGACTTATGTAAGTTCACGAGATATGATTCATCCACGATTAATTTTCTTAATATCTGAAAATATATGTGAGAAATAATTGTTAATACTTAATTCAAATGGAATGTGTATAAAATCTACAAGACAACCAATTATACTTATCCTATATTCGCATGGCAAAGGTGGCAGAGGTTCCTAATTATATCTATAGTTACCATCTAATAATCCTAATAATATATATTATCTTAATCTACAAATGATGATCATGCTACATTTAAGTAGTTAATAACTAATGAATCACTTAACCCTAATTAATGAAACTAATTAAAGAACGGTCTAAGCAAAAAAAATTCTTTTGCTAGGGTTTCGAAAAGTTTGCGCATGGCCACGTGGCGTAAACCCATCTGATGGAAGGGTATTTCTCTTCATTCTAATCATTACGAGATGCCTAAAATTAAATCACGTGGGGAAATTTTTTTGCTCGTCAATTTTGTTTTTGCGACGAGAAAAAAAATCAATGTGAAAACACCTCCTTAGAAAGATTCTATTTTTGCTTTTGACTATTTCTGTATATAATATATATTTGGATTTTTTTAGTCGATAAATTCTATTGATCCAAGACGGCCATGTAACAATCCTATATATATATATATATATATCAATAAATTCTATTGACTCATATATGTGTATATATATATATCATATGTATTTGTGTATGATAGCACAATAGAAAATGTAAATGGCAATATGTGTATGAACACTTAAAATCCTAATAAATGGTAAGCTCATAATCATTAATTATTAGTCTTTGACAATAATACTGCATGGCCTTAATTACCATTCCATGCACCAAACAACTAATTATTTCATGCATGCGAATCATTAAACGAGAGAATTATCGAATGTTATGTGTTCGATTAAATTAATTACTGCTAACTCAACAAATCAACAAATAAATTAGCTTTAATTAGTTACGATTGTTAATTATTTCATTTTGTACTTTATTTATGTTAAAAATAAAAGCAAATCCAGTTGCCTGTTGTTTTGTTTAAGTTCAAAGAGGCAATTCCTTTGATAAACGAAAATAAAAGATAGCGTCAAAACCATTCCAATCGAATTTTAAAACTCAAATCAAGAAGGAACATTTGAAATGTCTTTGGAAACCAGACTTAAACACTTTGTCATAAATCATAATGCAAGTTTCGGTATTGTCCTCTCCATGAATACCACTTGAGTTTTCAATGAAACCACAAAGGAAGAACACCCAAAACTCCTTTATGCAACCTCGGATTGAAAACATCGAATTGTACACGAATCCAACAAAACTTGCGGCGGCACAGATTGGAGCAGAACAGGTTTAGCTCCTGTCTCTTCCCGCCAATTCTCGTGCTTTCAGAAGATGAACATTTGCAATAGAAGCGATATCGAACACCACATTGCACAACCCTTCTCTAGAATTCTTTGGATCTAGACGGATCTCTAACTGCCCGGTTTCTTTTACAAGTAATCCATGTTTCTCGGCTAGTTTTTCCGGGATATATGCATAATGACGGTTTCTAGAACAATGATATGATAATGATTTAAGTAGTAGGACGAAGCCACTGGCTTTACCGATGTGTGAAGCTGCATGGTCAGTCATGGTTGATCTGATACCGTCTGCATGAAGGATATTGTAGAGAAGAGCCAAAACTATATCCTCTGCATATTTCTCGAACGTGTCGATGTTCTCTGGTAAATCACTGGCTTCTCTTTGGGCATATCGTATTCTGGCTTCAACCGAGCATTTTAACCATGATTTTCTAATCTTATGCTCAGATATTACCCATGGCAGAACATGTGCAGTTGGATCGTTTATTTGCTTTCCCGTGTAGAGTTTATCGATTGCCTCTTGCCACCAAAGTAACCTCATGAAGTCGATTCTTAGATCAGATGCAACATCCACGGCTTTAGCCATATCTACGTTGAAAGCTCGGAGGGCAAAAGTGAGTTGTCGCATCTCGGGAGGGAAATGAAGGAGGCAGAGGTAGTGATGGTAGTCATAACTTCGTACTTGTTATACACAGTGGGAGAATGCAACATGAAAGCAGGTGGAAGAAACGTTCATTAGAGGCAATTTTAATAAAACTCCTCCTCCCCCACAACCTTGTCAAGAATAGGTGTGATCAGTACGAGAAAATGATAGAATGTGATAAAACGTTACAAAATGGTTTTTGGACAGTGATCCATCACAAGGGTTTCTACTGTTTTTTGTAATGAACTTTCTGAAAATCAACCACTCGCTTTTACAAAACAAAGAACCATACCTAGATAGCATCAGAAATCCAGTCAGAAGACGAAAACATATACTTCAAACCAGAAAAATATGATTTCTTCAAGATAACCGGAGAACAACAGATTCCGACTGAGTTAACTGGTCCAGCTTAAATCATTCTAATTTCTTAGCTCAGGAGATGATTTCTCCAAGTACCAAGAACTATATCGGTGATCATAAAATATACAACGACCATATTGGTGATTAGAGGGATGAAATGGGATTGTGTAGGGGAAAAAATGAGAGGCAATTCAACATGGCTCATTCTTCATGAGTAGTTGAATTCAAATGAAAAAGACAACCAAAATTCAAAACGAGAGAGTTTCAAGTTATCAAGGAGAAGAAACTCCCTGACTAGACCATAAATACCATTTGTTAGCACCCAAAGTAACATCTCATTTACCTGAGAAATCCCAAAAATCGAATACACATGAATTAACACAAACACCTGGTCGACAAACACTTTGAATCAACCATCACGTAGAAATTAAGCAAATTTACAACTGGATTCAGTTATACATTCATTCATTAACCCAGAAAATCAAAACGAAGAACAAACGATGGCAGAACAAAAATTTCACAGAAGGCTAGAAATTGACCAGAGATTTCAAGCTGTAAATAGAGAAACTACGAGAGCTCATATCTTATAAAATTGTGAAGATCTAAGAAAAACTTACACTTAAGAAATTCTTCAATTTCGATATACCCATTGAATCTATCGAACAAAACATCGATATTTCGATCAGACAATGAAAACCCGATAAACCAAACCAAAGCGGTGATCAAAGTCGATGTATCGTGTTGGACTTCTGAGAATAGTTTTGGAAAACTTGAAACGACGTCGTTCAATGAAAGTATCATTAAACGGGGAAAGGATAATGTTATCCCTGACAATACGTGTAATGACCCGAGGCCACTACGGAATGATAGAGTTGTCCCCACACACCAACACGAGACCTTTTAGCGTGTTTTGTCCTCACTCGCACACATCCCATAAAGTACTTCCCAGGAGGTCACTCATCCTAAGACTACTCTAAGGCCAACACACTTAACTTTGGAGTTCTCTCGAGATAGACAACCAAAAAGGTAGATGCATCTTGTTGCTATGAGTAGCTCAATTAATTCTTTTAAGTTATCTTAGACTATGTAGTCCCATACCTACACAGCCCTCGGATCCCTCTCATTCCGGTGCGTCTGATTCATCCCTGTACCCCCTACCCAGAAGCTCGTCAGGAGCCGCCCATTGTCATTGCCTCTCTTACCGGCGATCACTCCCCGCCCTCCTACGGTATCCTGGGCTATCACAGTTCCACCAGCTTCCGCCTAGTTCGTCCTCGAACCACACCGTACTAGGAGAGAACCGGCTCTGATACCATCTGTAACAACCCGCGGTCATTATGAATTGTCGAAACTGCTCTCACACAACAACACGAGACCTTACAACGTGTTTTGTCCTCACTCGCACGCAAGGAGCAACGTGTTTTTGACCTACTGGAAAGTGTCTCGGTATGCGTGCGAGTGAGGACAAAACATGTTGGAAGGTCTCTTGTTGCTATGTGAGGGCAGTTTCGACAATTCATAACGACCGCGGGTTGTTACAATACGACCTAATGAACGTAATACTCGCGCAACCAAACAGAACCATTGTTCCTAAAACCCCAGAGCCTCTTCATAGTATCTTACAGAACGACAAATCCGTTGATTCCTTTGATTGCTTCAACGATGGCGAACGAAGTGAAAGCCCGAGGAAACTCTGCCTTCTCCGCCGGAGACTTTAACGCTTGGTTTAAAAAAGCGCGAGACGGTTCAAGGTGCAAAAGGTCTAACAAACCGAGGCGCATCGTCTTGCACCTCATGGATGCGGATTGCATTAAAAATTTATCAAAATAAATTTTAAATATACTGTAAATATGAAATTCAATTACCTAATTATCTAATGTTTTCCGAATCCATTACCAGAATCAAAAGAAAATAAAAAGAAAACACAATTATTATTAGATATCTAAATCATTTAGTACTGTAAAAAACAAAAGGCAAAATAGACAAATGAAAGAGATTTACATGTTTAAGGCAAAACAAACTTACACGAATTTTTTATTACATGAAAAACAATAAAAATAAATCTAAATCACACCAGTTAAATAGAGCAAAGAATTGAACAGATAATTAATACCTGGATTTCCACTAATGAGAGAGGAATAGAGACAATTATGACAAATTGACAATTAATTGTTTTTTTCTTTCGGTCCTATTCATTTTACAAGCAAACACTTATACTCTTCAAAACCCCTTTTAATTCCTCTTTAATTGTTTTTTCCTTTGAGACGGTGCATCTCGCATCAGATATACCACGTAGAAAAGTGCGCTTTTCTACCGCTTTATGAAAACAACCACAATTTTGTCACATGATGCGATTTTGTCATCGCTTATGCGCATCTGCGCCTCAGGCACTAAAAAGGCGCGCTTTTTTAATCCAAACTCGATTGCCGCCGTGACCCACTTCACTGACGCCATCAACCTTGCTTCGAACGAACCACGTCCTCTTCTCGAACTGCACGGCGGTTTACACGTCGCCTCACCGATAGTCCGATGTTCTCGACGACGCGAAGAAGATCGTTAAGATAAAATTAAACTGGTCCAAGGGCTATAGCCTCTCGATGCCGCACATCTACGGTTAAACCAGTTCCTGGAGGCCGTCGCGGCGTATAAGAAGTGGCTCGAGATTGATCCAAGTAATGAGGCACTGAAATCTAGGCTCACCGATGCGCAGGTCATCGCGTCAAGATCACACGCCTGGCCTTCGCTGTTTTCGCGGCGGCAATGAATCCTTTCGGGGATGCGCTTTAGGGGTCGGAGATGTGGGCGAAGCTGACGGCGGATTCTTCAATGAGAGGATTTCTCCAACAGCCTAATTTCGTGAAGGTGATGTAGGAGATTCATAAAAACCCTAGCAATCTCAATTTGTACTTGAAGGATCAAATGGTGATGCAGGCTCTTGAGGTCCTGTTGAATGTGAAGTTCAGACCGCCGCCGCCGGGAGATGAAGCAGAGGCTCTAGAGCCGGAGATGGCTTCGTCACTGCGGAGAGAATCAGAGGTGGAGAAGAGGCGGGAACCGATGCCAGAGGCGAGGAGGAAGAGAAGGAGAAGAAAGAGAGAAAGCGAAAATCCCATAAGGAGAAAGAGTTGGGAAATGCGACGTACAAGATGAAGGACTTCGATGTTGCCATCGAGCATTAATCCTCGACCATGGAGATAGACAATGAAGACGTCTCTTATCTCATGACTCGTGTCGCTGTTTATCTGGAGATGGGAAAGGTACAATCTTTGATATTGAAATTGTTCTTTTTTCGTACTTGGAGTTTATTCCATTCCATAGAGATTTTCTTGGCAAAAAACTCGATGTTGAATAGTACTAGTGTCAAAATGTGTGATTTAGTACGGTGAGTGAATTAAGGAGTGCGATAAGGCTGTTGAAAGGGTTAGAGAACTCAGGTCAGATTTCAAGATGATAGCAAGGGCTTTGATTAGGAAAGGAAATGCTTTCACAAATATGGTCAAATGCTCATATGTGACACCCGTATCCCGCTTCCCGTTAACAGGATGCGCCACATGGACTAAAATCAACTAAAATAATACCAAACCAAAAATACGGGAATTTTAAAACTTTTTAACCATAATACGCAGCGGAAATACACACGATCAATATCGCAAAACAACACATATCCGAATAGTAAACGCACATCGTAAAAAAAATATGGGAATATAATTCCCGTAGTCCAAAATACAAAACCCGTACATGATGCTGCCTCTCTCAGGTCGTCGTCGTCCAATGCACTAGGCGTAATCCTCGTGATCTGAAAAATATAAAACCACGAGGGCTAAGCACAACTGCTTAGTGAGTAGCCCGGGTTGAACCCGGTAAACCCGTTCTCATCGAGAATAGTGTTAAAACGATAATTCACAGTCAACAAACAAAAAACAATATATATATATATAACATGCATAACATTCACCACAACCATATCAATCACAAACATACCCGTATGGAATCCTCCATAGGGTTTCAGCCCCATATCCTAGCCAAGTCAGCATGGCTAGGGCGCACCACGCGCACCCGTCACTCGCGTGACGTTGGCCGTCGC